CTAAAGATATCAAAATATTTACTTTTTTATTTTTAGAATTTTCACAAATTATAGCTGTAGCTACGAAACAAAGAAGATAAATAAATCTTATTTTTACGTGAGGAATCCCCCCACGACAGACATTTTTTAAACATCCTGTATAACAAAAAAAAATACTACAAGATATACCTAATTAAAAAAATTTTAGATTGTTCAACTAATAGTAAATATTGAAATATATTCCTGTTCCTATATTGAAATATATGGCTGATGAAAAATAAACTACACATTTCCTGATCTAAAATTCTTTATTTTTAAATTCTGACTTATAAAAACTGTCAATTGTTAATTTTCAGATTCATAACTGTTAAATAATTAGTTCTTAGTTATAAATATAAAATTCATTAAAATATAATATTGGTTTATACCGATAAATTATTATTGCAAAGAAAAACAATAAAGAATTAATTGTACACTTCATACATCAAAGAAAAAATAAAATATTATAATACATACAATAAGTATGTCCAACGGCAGGATCCCTGACAGTAACAGTTGTAATCATTTTAATACACAGACCAATGGCATTTTCTGTCATTTTTTGGATGTCATCTGTCTAGATCTTCCCTAACTCGTTGAACAGACTTACTGACGTACATTGTATAAAATAAAATCAGTAAATAATATAATACATCACAGAAATCAAGACTAGAATGAATAATAATATTTGAACTATAAAAAATTCATTTCATTTTCTGCAAATAAAAAAGAAAAAATTGCCTTTACATTGTAATGTTAATAAACCTTATTTATATGGTAGATAGGAAGTGATTCGTTTGGACTATTTCTGTTTTTACAAAAATACTATTTACATTGGACAATAAGTAACATGTATGTACTGCAAAACTGTTTCTGATAAAACCATACCATTCAAATGTTTTGGAAATAAATAATTTAAACATTGGAACATTGCTTGATAAAATGCCCAAACCAGCTATATAGATAAAAAAAATAAAATGTCCAAACAAACTATACAAATTAATAGAAATCTTAACGCTAAAAAACAAAAAAAATGTTGAAGTGGGTAATTGAAAACATTTAACTGATGTTGTAATAGAACCATTATCTATTGCATCCAGTATTTCTTTTGCTATTATATAAAAAAATATTTTAAGTTTACATTTAATAACCAAAAAAGCTTATATCATTTTGATTCTTAGAAATATACCCAAGTAGCATTTTTAGACACAAAATCGAAACAAAATCTCTGTTGCAAAGCATTGCGAAACAGTTTCGTCACATTTTTGATACATGCGTTTCGTAACATAAATCGCTTTTTGTTTCGAAAAATTTTACCAAAATATGGTTTCGCTACATAAGCTATAACAATAAAGATCTTAGTGTCTTAGCTCACATATATAGATTTAGTACCCGTTTTGTGCCTGAAAAGTTTCCATAATTTATTTGATATTCTGCCAAATATGAGAACATAATCTTACTATATTGTTTGGATTTTGTTCTGTAGTTTTTGCATTTAAGCATTCTTCAAGTTTTTACAGTACTTTAATTAAAAAAGCAGAAGGAAGGATATATTTATGGTGGGTACAAATAGATATTTTTCTTATGCGATTTTATAATTATTTACTATATGTATTACAGAGATGATTTGTTTTAGGACTAAATGTAATAACAGCCACTACCCATACCCAACAGGAGACCGAAGAAAAATGTTACTAGCAAACGTTTTTTTCTCTTTTTTCCACAATGGAATACATGTTCATATGTTTTAATTATGTTATAATAAGTAAATAAAAATAAGCATGGATAAAAATGTTTTAATTATTTTGAATAGAAGTTTTGATTGGCGTTGTTAACAGGTGACTAGTTCGAAATTTCTACACAGATAGCGCTAAATCGAAACATTTTGGAAACAAGGTTTCCATTTATTGTCGATTCAATTTCGAAACACGAGTTTCTCTCTTTTTAGACACAAATATGATATAATATAGATGTGTAATGAATGACTCCATGTCAATTTTATAAAATAATGAATTAAAATTCCGCCATGTTGGCTAGTGATGTTTTTATCGGCTGTTGAGCTTTTAAAGTCATAAGAACGCGTTCTACTTATATTGATTTATATATTTTTATTGCCAGAACCATGATATAGAAATAAAAATAAAAATGTATATTTCAAACAAAAATATTTTGTAGCAACAACTAATGATATATAGAAAGGGCATTAAAAATATGAAAGTAGTTACATTATTAAATTAAACGATGAATTTGCTTTTGGCAGACATTTTTTGTGCGGGAAAACCTAAAAACAAAGATTATAAAGCAAAAAAATTATGGCGAAAGTCGACATTGTTGATGAATTTCAATCAAACTGTTTGTTCATTTTGAAATCCACACAGCCATAGACTATTTTAGGTTGGTATTTTGTTTCTTCGCATTTAGAAACAGGGCAACGGCCCAGCTACGTCGAAACACCGGTTCCCATTAAAACACCGAAGTTAAGCGACGTAAGGCGATACTAATGGGTGGACGGGTGCTTACACGAAGGGACACACACTGCTCATTCACGCCGGTTCGAGGCCGGATGAGAACGGATATCTCGTGAGTAAGAGTCGATTTAGACACTTGCCAAGTCGTTAGGCCATTGACGATGATATGGCCGAGGACCGCGGTTCGGATTCCACGTAAACAAAGTAGGCCCCGTCCAGATTAGCCCTAGCAGCAAAAAGTAGACGTTAACTGAAATCTTTACTTTACTTTACATTTAGAAACAGTAGCTGCTGAAAACGGATACATCTTGGACACAAATTGCAGAAAATGTTTCGAAAGATTTCCTCTAAAAGTTTTGATTTCGCATCGAAACATTTCAGGAAACGGCTAGTGCCACCAGATTAGGAACACATGTAATAAAGCCATATAAAATATATAGGTTTCGAAAATGTTTCCTATTTGTGGCCTACCGTTTCCATTTTGTGTCAAGAAACAGAGAGAAACGATTATTAGAAACATTACCTAAAATGTGTCCAAAAATGCTACTTGGGTACTTAAATTATAAACTTATAAATTTTAAACTGTATATAATATAGCGTTTACACGCCTTGGGAGAAGCAAGGTAGTGCTTCCTATACTGAAGCTATTTGGTATACATACAAGAAAATTACTATGCACCTAGGTACTCAAAATATTTTTATTTCATTAAAAACGGATGATTGAAACACTTTAAATCCATTTGACTTCATTTCACAAAAATACTATTGGTAACCTAGGTAAGTCAGTTATGAACTAAGTTATAAGAAAAAATAAACCTTGCTTTATCTCAAAAACTACAAAGTGCATAACATACAGAATGTCAACTTTGCTTCTTTCAATTTGAAAGAAAATTACAAATGTTTTTATTTACCCACATTAACTCTATTTGATATACCTACCTACCTACACAAATTTATAAACAATCAATTGCTAAATACCTTTAATATAAAAAAAAATATATCCAGTTAAGAGGATTTCTCTGAAAACTTGTTTTTTGGAAGTTGGTCATTAATATGTTATTATTATAGTGGTATCATTACAAAATATTCAATAGAATAAAACTAATTAACAAAAATACTATTATACAACAATGAGGTACACAAATTAATCTATACAGTCTTTAAAAATTATTTACAGGTGAAAATTGTTACTGACGAAAATTCTAGTTTATAATTTTACACCTTTTCAAATTACTTTTTATATAAAACTACAAAGGCGGCTATCAAAAAAATATTCCACTGTGTTTATTTTATGTTTTAAGCTTAAGAAACCTGCAAAAGTATTTAAATAGAAATATTTAAATACACAGATAGTAATGTATAAGAAATTTATTCATTTTTTCTTTAGGAAAAGGCAGTATACTTCTATTAAACCACTAATATAAATTTCGCAGTACTACAATGCAATTAAAATATTTATTTATTGGTGCTGATGTAAAAAGAAATTAATTTTGTTTCAAATATATACACAAAAATCATTATTAATTAATACAAAACAAAAAACAGATATAAAAAACTACAAAAAAAACAAAGAAGTCTTTATATCTGATTACAAAAATTAATTCACAAAAAAAAGCTTTACTTAATATCTTAAATCAAAGACTTCTAAGAAAAGTGCTCTAGAAATAAATTTTAAATAAAATAATAATAGATTGAAGAGAAATTTTAATTGTTTTTTAGAAAAACACAATTATTTTATTAATACATAATACTATATGTAAACAAATTAATTAAACATTTTAATTCAAATCTTTCTCCAAGGCCTGTATTTCTCTTGAAATTGCGTCAAATTTAACGATACAGCTGTTAAGTTGAACTCTCATGTTCAATACATGAAACTCCATTCCATCTAATATATTTTGGAACAAAAGTATTTCCTTTTTATTTTTCTCGTGGTCATCGAGATTATTTCTGGAATTCTCCACCTCCTTAACAACATTGCTTTTATCAGATAATTTGTTTTCTCTATTCATGATAATAATTATTATATTTTAATATTATTAACTGTAATTAATTGCCGAAAAGAAACAATTGAAGTTCAAACTTCAATAATCCTCAAATGTCAATTTTTTATACAGCAGCGCCATCTTATAAAAAAAATTAGTAACAAGTGATATTTCCAATGCAATTTAAAAATTAATTTTGGTTTAATTATTCTTGAAAAAACATAGTCTTTATTAGATAATATGGGTAGATAATATGTTTTCTTTAATCATGATAATTATTACATTTTTATTAAATAGTAATTAACTGCCACAATAAAACAAATAAAGTACAAATTTCAAATATTCATGTCATTTTTTAAATAGCAGAGCCATCTTCTATAAAGAAATAAAACAATTTTAATTTAAACAAGTGACATTTCCAGTGCAATTTAAATTTTTTTTTTGGTTCAATTAGGTATTCTTTTGGTATTCTTGAAAAATTGTACTTAACAGTATAAAATTAACTTAGTGAGGAAATTATAGGTGTATATCACAATGGGCAAACCGAACTAACCTGTAAACTACACCTTTAATCAATAAAATGTCCATCCTAGTATACTCTAAGCACCATATATAATATTTCAAGTAAAAAGTACTTAGATGTCCTTAGATGAAACATTCTATTGACCTTGGTTGTACCATCATATAGCAGACACATATTTTCTCTCTCCATCTTTTACAGGACATTAGGCTAAAAGATTTAAGGTTGTGTTAGCCATCTAAGGGTGCTCCTAGATAAACCATTGATACTTCCGTATTTCCATAAACAGCAGACACAGTTGGATATAGTTTCTTGTCTGGCAATCCTAAGAATATACAGAGTATTAATATAATATAAATAAAACTAGTTAACTGGTAGGTATTTACTTTAAAAAATAATAGATATAATTACTTTTATTTTTAAATTGTATAAATATATTGCATATTTACCTCTAAAAGCTACTCCTAAAAACTCATAATTCTTCTCAAATGATAGTGTGTTATCATCACAATCTAAAATCACTCTAATTCTTTCCCCAACCTAAAATTATTATGTTTAAATTAGACTCAAAGTAATGGTTAGCATTTATACCTGATATTTTGGTGCATTATTAAGCAAAGGATAATTTCCTTGAGCATCCCCATTATGTAATAAATGGTTATCTACTAAATTCCATCCCCAACTTTGATCATCAGAACCTAACAAAGCTACATAACCATGACACTGTAAAGGGGCATCTTTTGTAGCAATTCCTATAACAGCAACAGTTCCTAATGGGCCCTCCCAAATAACTTCCCAAGCATGCCTTCCATGTCTAAAGCCTATTTTACCCCGACAAGCATCTGTACTCTGAGCTACTGGATTTCTGTGTAATGTAAAACCATTAGGTTTAATGTATATATTTCTAGAACAATCGTTGGGGTTCCATGCGTGATAAAAAGCTTTTAATTTTGCTTTATACGTAGGAACTGACGATAGGAGATCGGATTTAAGGGCTTCTTCGGCCAATTTTCGAATGCAGTGTAACCGCCACACGTCGTTATTTTCATCATTTAAAAAGTCGTACCACCTTTTACAAACTAAGGAACAGTTTCTGAGATCACGGAGACTTAAATAAGAGAATATTTGTTCTAAACAATTATCTGGCACAATATTTCCGGCGATGGAATCCATTTTTATTTTTGTTTTTCCATATTTTGACTTTTGACAACTTTGACATGTCTTTCATATTTTTTTTATATCTGTTTAGTTTCTCAGAGATATAGATCAGAAGCACCCCAACCCTGACCTATCATATATAATATATCGGACTGAGATTCCATACCGTAAAACTGTATGATTAAAGTGAGAACTACAATAAAATTTGGGTCCCCAGAATACGATAATTAAGAATTTATTGCATGTCAATCAGGTCAAAATATGGTATTTTTACATACCACTACCGGTGCCAAAAAAAAACTATTTGCTTGCAGCACTGTGTTGGAAGCAAAATACCGTATAGTTTAAAGAACTGTTGGTAATTGCCGAATTGTTATTATTGAAGATATTAAAAATTGGTAATTCTACAATTTACTAAAATATTTAATTACACAATCGATTTGTTAAATTCAAGCATCTATACATCAATACAGCCCTACTTAATTTATATGAACATCAAATTAGGTCAAATTGGACCGTCATATGAACTACTTTTGGCTTGTCCCTCGTGAATATAGTGGACCAATCAGAATGGTTACTTTGTGCCCGCCGCTAAGCTGATTTAGAAGGATTTCTGCATGAAAAAGCGCCTCTTTAAAAAGTTGTAGACGTGTTTCGGTTTAAATGGAATAAAGCAAAACTTGGTAAAATGAAAGTATAAAGATCTAGAAACTTGATTCCGTTACATATAACATTTTTTTGCAAACAGTTTTTGTGTAAGAAACTTTGAAATGTTGAAGATTTAAAGTCGCCATTTTGGTCAATTTGAGATTACCGAGAGTGGTGTGTTCGTACTTATTTTGAGAATAAATTATTTTGCTGATTATTTTTTAATTTGTCTGAAGTGTAGTGATATTCGCAAATGTCGGACATGACTCAAAACCAAAACACGTCCAACTGGGTGATCCAGGGAGCGAATGGTAAATCTTTATACATCACTAATATCTACCGCGGTTCTTAAGAGCAGTAGTTCATTTTAATTTATTTTTATAAAGTATTCCAAGGAATTGTAGTTGTTAATTTTGTAGGAAAATTGTTGCCTACACAGGAGGCTTGTAAATTAATTTTTAAGATAGTGCAAAATGTAGTGGGCCATGTTGAATTGGCAGTGCCAATTTGGCACTGACCACTCTGTTTTATCAGGGCTATAATTTTTTAACTCCGATAATTTCGTACTTTACTACAGGCCAACCGCAAGTGGTAAAACTGGTTCAATCATCAGGAAAACCCATCGGTGGTATGACATCTGCAGTTACCGGAACCCCTGTAAAGATACAGTACAAATCTTCAGCAGCCACCTCTAATTCTTCACAAGTTAGTGTCCTATTCTTAATTATAGGTATTTTGGTAGAATACCTATATCACTACAAGTTTGCATTGTAACTACTACAGTTAAATCTTATTTCGTCAGAAAAAAGTAATACTATCAATATAAAGGTTTTCTTATTTTAATAAGTTTTAGGTGTTTTCACTAATTTAATTTTCAGAATACAAAGGTGAAAAATCTGTTATAAAATTTTATATGGTCAAAATTACCAAGTGTGCTTTTTAATGGAGCTACAGTAATATTTATATATCAATAAAATATTTGACATACTTTCATAAAATGAAGAGCCCAATTCATATTTTTCACTTAATCAGTTTGTAAGAAAGGTATATTTTAAGGTATTTTTTCTGTTAATAGGTTAAACTACAAGAAAAACGAAAATATTTTTTATTTTTATAGTTTTTTTTTCTTAAACATTAAGTAGTAGAAGTATTTTTTGATTGAAATATGTTTATTAAATTTGCTTCTTTATGTATAAGGAAAGAAATAGGTACCTATAAGGTTTTAATATACAGTAGTTCGACATAGGTTGTTTTTATTTCTTTTTTTATTATAGATATTTCAAGAAGATTGATCTTTTTCAATTCTATTTCATATCTTATAAAGTGGGTTATACTAGGAATCAAATGTGTTTATGTTTATAAACAAAATAATGGGAGATTATTTTTTATTACAAAATAATATAAAATTTATAATGGAGAACAGCAAAATTAGATAGAAGAATCATAGCCAAAATATTTATATGCTTATACCTCAAGCTCAATGACCTTGTTTCTCTGCTTCAGGTTGTAAGAATTCTATATCAATCTTGTTTATAATATATACCTATATAGTAGAAAAAATCTACATATCAAAGTGAACTTGCTATAAACTAGACTATTAGATTTAAATCTGTTTGATTTTACTAATAAAATGAAAAATTACTTTATATACAGGGTGCGTCTCAAAAGTGGCTCACCCCTAAAAGTTTTTTATTTTTTCAATTAAAAAAACGATATTTGGTATGTTAGTATATGACATAAATCAGGATTGATTGACGTATTCAATTGTTTTTGGTCACTTCCTGTTTCACCGGAAATGACTACAACTTTTTTTTGATCTTTAAATGGCACTCTCGGTATTTTTTTACTTTATTCGATAGAAAATAACACTCTGAATAGAACGACATATCATATGTCAACTTTTGACATTTTCACATATGGTTTATTTGAAGTTGTAACTTGCGGTTCGTAACGAAAATTTGACTCGAAATACCAAGTGTGTGGTATCAAATTATTCATAAAAAAATGCTTTTTCCAAATATGCTAATGAGCCACCCTCGTTCTATTTGAAAAAATTGAGATATAATTAAAAATACGATTTGAGCATTTTCTAACTGGCCAGGACAAGATACTAAAGACATTAGACGATCAAATCTATTTTTCCAAGGCTCCTTGATTAAGAATTAGTGTTTTTAACATAGCCATGGCACTCTAGATTGAATTTTAAAATACGATTTTTTATTAAGCGAAAATGTCAAAAGTTGACATATGATATGTCATTCTAGTCAGAATGCCATTTTCTATTAAAGTAAAAAAATACCGAGGGTCCCATTTAAAAATCAAAAGTTGTAGTCATTTCCGGTGAAACAGGAAGTGACCAAAAACAATTGAATACGTCAATCAATCCTAATTTATGTCATATACTAACATACCAAATCTAGTTTTGTTATCTGAAAAAATAAAAAAGTTATAGGGGGTGAGCCACTTTTGAGACGCACCCACTATATAGGTATTAACGAGGGTATTAATTATATACCTATACAGTATATTAGTTTTTCTAAGATACTTGAAAGTTATTTCTGAGATAAAAGGTTGTAGACAAAATGAGGGGTCAGGGGAAAAACATGATAAAAGCCAAGGAAGGTTCTTTCTCTGTATGTATATTTTTACTAGGCATATACAGGGTGTCCCAGGCTGAGCGTGCATTAGAAGTTTCTAGAGAACCACAATATCTAGATCGGAGATTTTTTGCACATCATTGTTTTGCAACGAAATCTATTGATTAAAAATATTTTCAATATGGCGGCACTTCCGGAAATACCGGAAGTTGACAACAACTTTCTTATTTTAAATGGGTGCCCCCATTTTTTATTACATACTTAAATTCTCTGCAAAATTGTATGAATATAGATGTTAAATACTCTATATCTAACATTAACCGTTTTTGAGAAGAAAAAAATATTTAAAATTTTTGGATGAAAAAAGCTACGTGTCAAAAAAATGGTATAGTCTAAAAATCAAATTTGGTGATTACCACAGCCACTGTGACATAAAGGGAAGACATGTGGCTATCTATTTCAAAAATTAAATTGTTCAAATGTCTTATAATAATGGCGGTAGCTGTCATGAAATGGAGCTATTAAAAAATTATCATAAATCATTTTTATTTTTCAAATGGAAACCCTCTTTTTTTATTTCACTAGTGAAAAGGTTTCTCAATTCGTTACTTTTTAACTATACATGTTCCTATACATAAAATAAATCGTTTTTAAGTTATTTAAAATTTAATTTGAAAACGTATATTTTTCTTCATTTTATCTAGCTTCCTTTGACATTAAGTGTCAAACGGTCCCTCTGTCAGAAAACGAATTATTTGAATTTTCTATATTATAAATACCGCCTGCCTTAAGAGTTTAAAAAGTGTATTTATAAAAATATGTCTCGTATTTTCGCTCTTTAGTGAGATCTAATAGTTGATATTATTAATAATATTCCGTATGATCGAAAAAAAAACAGCGCAAAATTGGCTCGGAAATAATGCTGCTTTTTGAACAAAGCGTTAGAATATGATATGGCCAGATCTATTGTTTTAAATCACTTGACGTTTAAAGTCATAGGCCACTGGTTAAAATCAAGAAAATTATACGCTTTAAAACTAGTTCTTAAATAACTTAAAAACTATTTATTTTAGGTATAGGAACATGTATAGTCAAAAAGTAACTAATTGAGAAGCCTTTTCACTAGTGAAGTAAAGAAAGTGGGTTTATGTTTGAAAGAAATGATTTATGATAATTTTTTAATCGCTCAATTCCATGACAGCTACCGCCATGAATATATGACACCTGAACAATTTAATTTTTGAAATAGATAGCCACATGTTTTCTCTTTATGGCACAGTGTCTGTGGTAATCACTAAATTTGACGTTTAGGTTATACACATATTTTTGACAGCGAGTTTTTTTTCGTCCAAATATTTTAAATATTTTTTTTCTCAAAAACGATCAATGTTAGATATAGAGCGATTAGTATCAAAATTCCTAAAATTTTACAGAGAATTTAAGTATGTAATAAAAAATTGGAGTACATATTTAAAATAAGAAAGTTGTTGTGAACTTCCGGTATTTCCGGAAGTGCCGCCATATTGAAAATATTTTTAATCGATAGATCTCGTTGTGAAACTGTAATGTGCAAAAAATCTCCGAGCTAGATATTGTGATTCTCTAGAAACTTCTAATTCACGCTCACCCTGGGACACCCTGTATGTGTATCATAGGATTTAACAACTTATTGCCCTGCAGAGTTTATACATTTTGTAGGGTTAGGCCTAAGATAATATTGTAAAACCCTGAAATTATGAAATTGGCGCTTATCATGTGTTTTCTCTGGACCCTTCATATACAGTAGGGTGAGCCAAAAAAATTAACCTATGGAATTTATGGGTTAAAATGAATCTAATAACCCAGAAAAAAATATACGTGGAAGGCAGGATTTTTTGCTCAATTTTAAAAGGTATCGGTGAACATTCAAAATTTTCCATTTAAATAACACATAAAAAAATATTTTTCCATTAAAAGTAACTTTTAAACGGTTTACAATAAAAAAAACTTACGTAAACTTTAAAACGGTTTACAATAAAAAAAAATACATCGCGGATTCTTGTAGAGCATAACAGCGCTTTCAGATGGAGCGGACCGTCCGCGACGGACAGTCCGTCGTGTTTTTTCAAGATAGCCGTCGGACGGAGCATACGCGCCCATGTGAAATTGTTAAAAATCCTGCCTTCCGGGGAGCATATTTGTATGTTACACACAGATTATCCATTCGGAATTAGTCAGGTCTGCTGCGATTCGGCGGTATGTAAGTTATACTCGGGAGAGCACTTTCTTGGATAAAGCGAGTGCAACATACAGAAACATTGTAACATATATGTATGTATATGCCAGTTTAATTTTGGCCCTTATAGGAAAAATGTTGTACCTAACACGAACTATTTAAGTAAATAACTATTCTTTTATAAAACACGCTTGATATTTTATGATATTCTCAGTGTCCTTAAAAAGCCTTCAAAATTGTTGTATATAACGTGTCATACCTACTTAACGTTTATTTTTTATAAGGTATAAGCAGTTAAAACTGTGGTTTAATTAAGTTGTATTTAGAAGGTTTTTATTATGCAATAAGAATGATTTAAGATATAAATGTGAGATACCTGTTAAATAAGTAAGAGATAATAGTAGATTTTCACCGGAAGTCCATTGTGGTTAAATCCGATGACACTACTTCACAAGCATCATTTGTATCAATCAGATATCAATCTCTTGTTTTGATACTCTGTTAAAAATTAAATCAAGTATTCTTTGACTAAAGTATTCTTCAAAGCCATTTATAATAAATTCGCATAACTGAGTTAAATTAAAGGCTTTCGAGCTTTCAAGGGGGATGTCTTTTAAAAGTCGAAAATTACCTCAGAAAAATTGTCGGTGTCGGTTCCCCTCAGAATCTGCGTTCTTCTGTAGTAGAAATACCACTGTTTATCTCGAAGAAATAACTTTCCTATATATTTTTACATCACAAGCAAATAAAAATTAAAATTTAGCCAACTGTAATTCAGTCAAAATTCAAGATACACATATACAAGTACATTCACATATATAATTTAATTTTGCTCCCATGCTATATCGTTAAAAGTGTTGGAAAATATAATATAGTCAATACCCATATATATGTCGTCAATTCACAAAACATAATTATTCATAATAACGCCAACACTACTCTGTATGTTGCACTCGCTTTATCCAAGAAAGTGCTCTCCCAAGTATAACTTACATACCGCCGAATCGCAGCAGACCCGACTAATTCCGAATGGATAATCTGTGTGCAACATACAAATATGCTTCCGGGGATATTTGTTCTCGGTTATTAGGTTCATTTTAACCCATAAATTCCATGTTAGTTTTTTTGGCTCACCCTAATATACAGTCTAGATGTTACATAACAAATATCAAAATGGAAAATGGAGTTTGAAATATTAAAATAAAAAAATTAGTGTTATTTGTATGTTTATTGTAGGCCTTTATGTCAGCTGTTGGACAGCAACAACAAATCATTAGGACCTTAACATCGAACCAAAAAATTGCGAGTAAGATGGAAGTGTAAAGTATCACTCGCGTTTATATAATAATTTTTATATAATTTTAGAACAAATGCCAATACAGGTTACTTCAGGCACTATTCCTAAAGGTGCAAAAACTATTAGGTTAACTCCAGCTCAGATGGTAAGTCTATTGAAAACTTATGGATGTTCATGCTTCCAATCTTAACCCTAAACCTAACATTAGTCCTAATTTTGAAAATATGAATCAGCGTTAACTAAGGTTAGCATTCATGCTTTCAAAACTTAACATTAGCTTTAGACCTAATGGGCCCTAAGAAATATGTGATATGATGATTTATATTCTTAATGTTAATACAACATTAATTTGCACATGCTCAAAACTAACATTAGTCCTAATTTTGAAAATATGAATCAACGTTAACTAAGGTTAGCATTCATGCTTTCAAACCTTAACATTAGCTTTAGACCTAATGGGTCCTAAGAAATATGTGATATGATGATTTATATTCTTAATGTTAATACAACATTAATTTGCACATGCTCAAAACTAGGGTTTTTAAATTTTCGAAATAATTTTTGACATTGTTGAGTTGTAAATAATAATTAATATTTATCTTTTTTTTTTGTCTAGAAATAAATAATGTTTATTCACAAGTAAGTGAATGTTATCATTGTGAAACTTAGTCTCTCTAGTTTTCGAAATTCTAAAAATATGTGTGAACTTAGAGAGCTCAACACATGCTTGGTACACTATGACTCTAGATTTTTACTCACCCTCTATTGCTAGGCAAATATTTTTTTGTTTACGCGCGTTTATTTAGTGTCGTAGTAAAATACCGATAGTAGCCCATATCTAAAAAACAAAAGTAGTTGACGGTGTTGCTTTAGCGCCCCACGTTGGGCGCCATGTTAAAAGATTACACGTTTTTCTTTGCACTGTTTATTCAAGTATTTTTACAAAGTTCGCAAAGAAATGTTAAGTTAGTTCTCTCTTGCGCCAAGGCCAAGCGACTTTTGTTTGATTTTTTTGTGATTTCCTGTGATTAGGATGTTTTAAATTTACAACCTGTGTTATGTGTCAAATAAAAGAGGAATATCCACTCCCCTCTATACTATCCTATACATATTTATATCAATGATAAAGAAAGTCCAGACTTAAATATATAATATATACATATACCTTTTTATTTATTAACATTGGAGTAGTTTTACTAATTGTATATGTGGAATTCCACTGAGATGTGTTTTTTAATATTTTGAATTTTATCTCTCGGTATTTTTTTCTAAAAGGTTATTTATTTAAATTTTCTAATTTGTGTGGATATATTATATTATAATTGTATTTTTTCAAGCACACACTAGCATTGACACAAAGGAAATTTTACAGTTCCAAAGTGACGCAAATGACGACAAATGCGTATCTAGTACTTAAAATTAAGCATAACTGTACAAAATATAAAAAAAATGTATTATTTTACTCACATTTTGGTTATTAAGAATTTTAACCCCACTAAAAATTTCTATATTGTCAAATCACGCCCATTTTTACCAATCAAGCCCATTGAATTTTAACGATATTTAGTTTTAAAAATACTCTGTTAAATTTTTCTAAACTTAAGTCCAGTGCAAATGGACATTAGTAACCCAGTGTCTAATATAGTAGTGTTGAAGTCCATTAGAAATACTGGGACTCTTAATTCTTTTGTTCGATGATGACAGTGCGAAAATTAAGGGTCTCAGTCTATTCCATCTGACTTCAGAAAAACTATACTAAAAAATATGAAAAAAAATTGACCCCTGATGGATATTCTGAGACAAGTAAAATTATGAACGACATTTCCTTAAGGGGGAGATTGACTTAAGCCGAGCACTGTAATGTAATGTAACACGAGCATTCGCTAATCAATGCCGAAAAGTAATTAGCGAACCAAGCGGCTCGCGAACAGCAACGGCGATCCACTCCACTGTCGATTTTTTAGCGAATCTCTTTGATTGTTACATTATAAGTCAGTACAGTTTCAGCGATTGTCCGTATTCCAATCATTCAGGCATCATGTTATTCGCTAAGCAATACGACGAGGAAAAATACTGGAACATTGCAGCCAAACATTCGAAATGAGATTTTCGCGTATCGACTCCTAAAGAAACATCCGCCGCGAGCAGCAAACAAACGTTACATTACAGCGCTCGGCTCAAGACTATCTCCGCTGTTAAAGGTAAGGTTAGGACTAATGCTCGAAGTATGACACGACCATTAATATTATCATTGAGGAAAAAAATATATTTTTTAGATTCCTCACGTAAAAATAAGATTTATTTTACATATAAACATAGGTCCGATTATTATTATTATAGATGTGCGCCATTGACTTTTTTCTTTTGATATCAAAGATGTATAGACCGTTTGATGCCAGTTAAAAGTTATCTCTTGATATTTTGTCAAATTCGGCCTCCTTGATGAGATAAACGCAACGTTTATCTTATCAATGAATAAAAATTAAATTAAATTATATATTTTACTTAATTTATTATAAAATATTATTACTATTAGTCCAACCTACAGCAATATGAAATAAAAAAATAATGGTATTTAGATAATTACAAAAAACTAATTTTAAAAAGTTTTAACATCCTGTACTTCTAAAACTATGCATCTCCATAACCATGTTTATAGGAACTTTTTTCATATTTTTGATGAGGAATCCATGAGTACTAATTTAAAACTTTTTCAAGTGAATGATATTAATTTTTTTTAAAGGTTGCTATTAGACTTGGATCAAGGCAAATTAATAAAATTGCGTTTATCCCATTAAGGAGGCCAAAATCGACAAAATATCAAGAGACAACTTTGAATCGGCATTAATGTATGTTTACATTATTTCGTATATTATAAAAATATGTTTACACTATTTCGCTAACAAGAGAAAAAAATCAGTGACGTACATGCTTTTTCTAGAAAAATATTCTAGTGATAACCCATATGCACGTCTCTGGTGAATATGTCGACACATTTTTAGCTGTAAAATATGTCTCAAAATTTCATTCAAAACGCTAAAAGTAGTTGGAAGAAAATTATAATAAATCGAAAAAATATTAAGACTTTAACACACTGTAGCTATGAAACAAAGCAGAATCGGTGATGATATGAAAAATATATCTTATTTTTACGTGAGGAATCTCCCCACGAGAGATGGTACATGTTTTTTAAAACAGCCTGTATAATTTTACATAGAAAATGTCATTTACTTTTAGCAAAATATTAAATTGGTGAGTCAAGCGCATCTTATGTCAGTCCCAAATAGTCCGACCTCGCAGGCAATTCCAGTTATTCAGCAAGCGCCAAGTCCACAGTACCATCCACCGCAATCGGCTAAAAATGTACCTCCTCCTATTTTATCTAGGAAGAGGCCAGATCCGGGAGAAAATGTAGAATTCACGCCAGAGTAAGTACACAAAAAGAAACATTTAGTATAGGCACAACTTATTCACTGGCAACCGGTCACCTTTGCTTGTTTTTGACCGAGTTCGTTCTCGTGCACCTTCTAACAGTCAGAGAGGCAGTGCCACGATCATTTCTTTTAATATTTTTTTTCCGTTTTTCGCAACATTTAATAACTCTCTGGAACAAAAACTCTAAATCTCAAAAACCAGACAGTTTCAAAAATATTTTAAAGAATTGTAAGGGGGTCAAGCAACTTTTTTCAAAAATCAAGGTCTTTGAGATTGGAACTAATATATTCTAGCCGATAAATAGTTATCTTTATGTGGAATCCACTGACCAACTATTTTATGATATCTCTTATAGATATATTAGTTCGAGAAAATCTACAAAATAAATATTATTTTTCTTTTTCCGCAACTTATGTTACACAAAGGTAACGAATAGGCAGATGAAATAGCCAAGCAAGGCTCATCAATGCCATTTATAGATCCAGAACCCTTCTGCAGCGTTGTAAAAGCAATCACGAGAATGGCTACAAAACGATGGTTGAAAACAAATCTCTAGAATGGTGAAAAACCTCATCAGGGCAGAGTCAAGAGAAAAAGTTCACAGTAGCACATTCGTCAAAATTCACGGCAAACCTGGTAAGGAAAGGCAGAAAGGCAGTCAAAGCTGTAGTGGGTCTACTAACTTAATTGTATGCTGAATAATAGGCATTAATGGCTAATGAGATTAACGGACGAAGCCATGTGCAGGTTCTGTCAATCTGAAGAATAAATGACAGAACACATTTTATGTCGGTGCGAGAGTCTCGAAAATGTGCAGTTCTCGGTAACAGGCAATGATAGACCATTGACAGGGAGCTACATGGAGGGTTCAGTCTCCAAGTTGCTAGACTTTGTGAAAAATATAGGACTGGAGATGTAACCTAATGATCAGAAAAGGACCACAATAGCTATGGAAAGGTCGCAGTGGATCAGGCCGATAACCACCTCGAACAATCTAATACTAGTTGTAGTCTGGTCCAACGAAAAAAATTTTGGTGTGATAGATGTGCCTGTCATTTTAATTTCAAAGTAGTTTGTTTTATTTTACAAAGAAATGTAAGGCGGTCAATTGGAACGCAAAGCGGGAAATTAATACCGTATGATCGAATAAAAACGGCATCAGCGATGGCTATGAAATGAAGATCGCTGTCATTTTATATGTAAAATTATATTGGAATGTCATCGATCGTCATTTCCACGCCAACTGGACGCCATTTTTTTTCGATCATACGGTATATTCAAAATTTTAGTGACAAATGGTTACTTTATTATGAAAAAAACTGTTTAACACTGAAACAATAATATTGAGTTATTTTATTTTAAAATATTATAAAACACACATTCAAAAAATCTATAAACACTTCAAGAAACTTCTTGGATTTATTATATGTATTTACCAGTATAACTTATGTACAAATAAAACAAGTTTTAATATTGGTCAGAAATAAATAAAACAAAATATTTTATCAATAATAATTTCTATAATTTACAAACATTTACTGAACCTTAAAAGTTGGTTAAATAACTTTAATCTCAATTTTTTAAACCAGGGCCTTTTGACCTTAATAATAATATTATTTGCATATCCTGTGATATCTATTTTTACAGCTACTTCACTTTTTAGTGCTATATACGAGATGGTATACAAACTTTATTGGTGTCTAATAGGTACAACTCTCTGGGTCTACACTTACTTTTCCCTCGATTTTTTCTCTTTTTTTCGACATCGTCTGCCTTTTTTTCATCGTCTGCCTTTGTCATCGTCTGTCGAAATATTCCGAGTCGTAAAACAGAGCATATGTAGACTTTCACGCACGTGAGTCGGCAAGCTGGGCATGCATAGGCTGTGATTTATACGTTATTTCATAACCTATTAAATCTTACTGACCTATAAACATTAATACAGAAGACACAATATTACACCTGATGGGTATAATATTGTGGCGGCCACTACAAAAATTTCATGTATACATTCTCATGTATGCACTCTTTTAGTACTGAAAGTTCATTTTGTGTACTCAAACTTTTTTTTTAAATCTATTTTTATTATTATTTAATATTTATGCGAGTTTTTCTCGCATAAATATTAAATAATTTAATCGCATAATGTTCTTGTGTTTATGTTCTTGAATTGGTTATTTTGTAGCAAACGCTTTAGAAAAGCAGAAAAACTTAGCCGAGGTTTGAGACACTTTTCGATGAAAGTTTGCGAAAAAGTCAAAGAAAAAGTAACAACGACTTACAATGAAGTAGCCGACGACTTGGTACGCGAATTCACGGCTCAACAGAACACGACCAATAGCCCTTTAGCTGATCAATACGACCAGAAGAATATCAGAAGGAGAGTGTACGACGCGCTTAACGTTCTAATGGCCATGAATATTATTTCGAAAGAAAAGAAAGAAATTAGGTGGATCGGATTACCAACGAACTCTTTACAAGTAAGACATTTTCTACACCTCTACCCTCCATAGTTTTAAGGTAAAAATGAATACATTTTAAGATATCTACTGTATATTAGAAAGGTCATAGATATATAGAGTGCCCCAATATTCCCTGGACATAGAACTACTGCGTATTTTTGGAACCGAAACAAGTTTATTGGGCTCAATTTACCTTTATACTAAAGTAGGTACTTTGATTGTCCGTTAGAGGGCATCAAACTTTAAAAAATAAACATAGTTAATAAGATATTTTAAGAACCGTTCATCCGATTTAAATAAGAGTTGGGGCAGAGAAGAACAAACGTAGAGAAGGGACAAAAACCGTCGGCACTATTGAAGTAGGGGGGGACCAAGTTTTGTGACCTTCAAATTGGCGTACGTGACAGATAGCATGTTTATGGTAGTTTATGTTTCTAGCTACACTGAGAGAAATTCAATGAAGACAAAAGAAATAAGAAAAGTTGTACACTGAAAAAACATGTGTTCAGTAAAAAGTATATTAGAAATATTTAGGAATCATATTGAATAGTAACTATTTTTAAGATTTAACGGTTTTCCGCGATTTGTGGATTTACCGCGTTCTAACCATTTTCTAACATATTTCTTTTAGAGAGACATTTTCAAATCGTATCTGATAATATTGTTCGTTTCGAAATTAATATTTGAAAGTGTGTTTTTAAGTAAAACAATTTTAAGAAAAATTCGAATATTTATCAGCTGTTATCACAAGCGTTAAACCAAACTAAAATAAAATAAATAAATAAAAAGAAATAAAATAAATAAAAAAAAGTAAATAACATGATTACAGTTGACGGTAGGAACTGGGGTATTAAAACAGCAAAATAAAACACTAATTCACCACAATACACTAAAACACTTTACATCAATGCATCAGCAGATGATTAAAAAACATAATATCTTTATAATATGAGAACAGAGGTTGTAGATTAAATTTACAAGAAAGAAAACCCAGAAAAGATTCAGCGGTTCTAAAAATGTAACCAAAATTGTTTTTTTTTAATTTTCAAAGCATCTCGGTTATTCTGGACTTAAACTGAAAACGGTAAAGAGAAAATATGCTTCATTTATCGAGGTCTACCAGCCCTGAAAATATTTGCACTTATTTAAGACTCACTCTATATATTAAAAAAATCATATTTTACATAAAAACCATATTACGTTTAAAGATAACACAACTCAAATTAGCGCCGCTATTAAATTATATATGCGATAAAATATTTCAATAGTTTTCTTATCTTTTTGTTTTATTTTGAGGTCCCTATTCGTATATTTTATAGTATAGAATATTTTCAGCCTGATAAAGAGTTTTAGAGCATAGTCTTTTGGAAATTGAGGACATGGGTGTTCCAAAAGTTCTTTGTTTATTAGACTATACATTTTTTATGAAATTGATGGCCCAGTACTGATATTCTCAACATTAGAATTAAGTAAATATTTTTTCATTTATTCATTTATATAACAAGGCTTTTAATTTAAACTCCCTTTTCACAAGGCTGCAATTTATTAATTTTGCAAAAGGCAGTTTTTAATAATTAAACGCTAAAAACCTGCATCTATTTTAAGTTTTAATAATATTTAGTCCTTAAAGTTAGTTTCTTTCTTTAAGTACTATTATAAGGTAAGGATAAAATATAGATTAATTAATTCAAAAAAAGATTATTTACACAAATAAAAAAATAGTGAGATTTCAGGACTTATCATTAACAATGGCAACGCTGGCCGTATTCCGAAAACACGTTGAGATGACAGCATGTTTACCTCCCACTCCAAATTTTTTGGCGGGATTCGTTTTGTCGCTTCTCTACGTTTGTTCTTCTCTGGTTGGGGTCCCTATATTTTGCTAAGTATTGTAACATTTGACTTTCTGAAAAATCAAGAAAAAGTACGGGAAGGGTGAAAACTACGCCCGCCCGTACACAAATTTTAGTTAAAATATTTTACAAATCCACCGACGATCGATTTTTTTTTTTTTTCATAAAATGGTCCGTTTAGTATTTACTGCATTTTTGTCTCTTATAAAAAACCTTTTTTTTCTAATAATGGTCATTAATAATAAAAATATATTAAATAAAGTTATTAATTAAATCATATAATAAATAAATAGTAATTTTCTAATAAATACTCCAAATATTCAAATCAGGACGTTTCCTAAAATATCTTAAAAAATGTGTCTATTTTTTTAAGTGTGATCGGTCATTTCAATTTACTTCTATACAATAAGTGAATTTGTTTTGATTACAAAAATGTGTAGTAGTTCTATGTCCATGAACTGGGACACACTGTATAGCCAAACACATTTTTTAAGGAATATCATCAGTTAGAAAAGGAAGTACTCAAAAAAATGACCTTAATTAAAGAAAAGGAAAGGCAATTTCACGAGTTAATCATGAACCAAATTGCTTTTAAAAGCCTTGCCCAAAGAAATAAGGAAGCCGAAAAGATTTCCGGGCCACCAGGACCAAACTGTTGTATTCAGCTACCGTTTATCGTTATAAACACAAATAAAAAGACTGTTATTAATTGTAGCATCTCAAATGACAAGTATGTATTAAAAAAATTATGTATGCACATGTGCGCAGTGCGCATCTTCGAAGTGAAACTTCTTGCTAACAGCTATTAAACTGAAGGATTTGAAGGACATGAAAGTGTAATTTGAAATGTTGAAAAAATAATAAATTTAAAAAATATATTTTTAGGTGTAAAAAATAGTTTTTTACACGTAAAAAATACTTTTTTTGCGTGTCACAAATAGTTTTTTACGTGTAGTAAATTGTTTTATACGCGTAAAATAAAAATTAATAAACAATTAAAATATTAATATTTTTGATAACACGTGGACTGCTCACAAATACACGTTGCGTCTCTACGTATTTCTAAGCTGTAGGCTGACCTTACTACTTTTCATCTCGCTAGCTTGTGTGTCACGGCCTTGAATTTTTATTCCCAGCCCGTGTAAAGAAGTTTCACTAGACTATACAGTCAAACAAAAGCAAGTCTTGCATTGTGAAAACTACAAAACCTACTTTTATATCTTTATTTGTTGAAAATACATATGTATGTCATATTTTAGGATGGACTACTTACTTCAGTTCAATGACAAATTCGAAATTAATGACGATATAGAGATTTTAAAACAGATTGGAATGTTGCATGGTAAATATATCTAACTATATTTATTTATTATTAAAAAATCAAGCTGCTAATTTATTTCTTTTTGTATGCTTATTATAGGTTTGGACAATGGAAAATGTTCAAAGGAAGATTTGGAAAGAATTAAGACGCTTATTCCAGAATCGTTATGGACATATGTAGAAAGTAAGTTTTTATAAATTCTCTCTAATTTTTTTTATGTTAAAATAGTCCAAAAATCGGAAGAATGTTACTAGACGCCCAAAGCAAAGTGTCGTATTTGATAATTATGATATAATCACCATCGCATCCCCCCCTCCCCATTAAGTAATCATAAAAAGCTAAACACGCATCGCTGCAACAGTATTTCTTTTCTATATGAACAGTGGGAGTAGCGAAAGACATTGTTGCCAAATTAACAATTTTATTTAGAATTATGGCGATAGATGAATACTTTTTTAGATTTTGAGTTGTAAAAAAGAGGCCTTTTTCAATACGCGAGAGAAAAAAACAATAGGATCAAAGTACCCTAGATTGAGGAAATATTAGTTGTTATATTGTAGGTGCTGATAGCCGTTTTATTTTAACATTTCCCAATATTATGTAGCCAATAATGTTATTGCCCGGACAATGACCGACAAAGGCAAAAAAAAGAATAACATTTTCAACATTAACCTTTATTCATTCATATGTGTATAGATTGCGGATATTTTCAGCCTATACCGTATCGTTTCTATATTTTAACTGGAGGAATCAGCGGCGCCGACTGCGTGTGTGGGCGGGTGCTCCAGCACCCACGAGCATATTCAACAAAACTAAACAGTAAGCAGCTTTCAGGAATGCGGGGTGAAGCGAACTTGCCGCCAAATTCGCAATGTTTTCAATTATCATTAATTTTTGATATTATTTTTTAATATGACGAGGTGACTTTGGTGACTATTGGCGTAATACATAATATTGACGCCGCATTAGATACACTGTAACAAATTAAAAAAACGTTAAGAGTAACGATACAGGCTTGATTTTAGCAAACATTAATAACAATATCAGGACTAACTATATTAAAGAAAACATAACTGTAATAACTTGGTTCACAAATAAAAGAAAACTTGTAAAAAGTACCCTAATATGTACTTTCTTTAGTCTCCCTTGGCTGCTATAGCTATATGTTTCGCCATTCTTCTTCGAAGGACCAATCAAAGTTCATTTAATGAAGCTGGAGCCGTTTCGAGACCTCTAACCCTCCTGCGAAACATATCCCAAACGTGTTCTATGGAATCAGATCTGTCAAACATGCTGGCCAGTTCATAGTGGGATATAGTTCACAATACTCACCAATGCCACATTGTTTAATTTGAAAAATATCATCAAAAAGTAATAATGGAAAAAATTTGCAAATTGTTGGCCGCAATAAGTTCATTTTGCTCTTAAAAATTCATTAAGGTATGTGTTCACATGAATCAAGAAACGAAATGCTCAGTAGGCATGATTCTCACCGAAAAATAATAGTTTAGAAAAATTTAAGGGTGTTTTAAAGTTAGGGTAAAAAAGACCCTTTGAATAGTCCTGTATAATTAGCAAAATACTAAAGTTTATAAAAACTGAGTATGAATTAAATTTGATATATTTATATACCGTTTGCTAAAAAAAATATAAAAATAAGAGTAAAAATAAAAAATATAACACTTTAGTTTTGACGACAAATTTTTCCGTTGCGTTTTTTTTTGTATCGAGTGTATATTACCTGCCCTTTTAATTTTGATAAGTATAATTAGTATTTTACAAATTGATATCCATAACTATAGAATTACAAAACAACAACAAGTTGGTGTTATTAATTTGTTACATACCTCATGCAAGAAATTCGATATATTGGGTGCGTCTCAAAAGTGGCTCACCTCTATAACTTTTTTATTTTTTCAGTTGAAAAGACTAGATCTGGTATGTTAGTATATGACATAAATTAGGATTGATTTACGTATTCAATTGTTTTCGGACACTTCCTATTTCACCGGAAATTACTACAACTTTTGATTTTTAAATTGCACCTTTGGTATTTTTTTTACTTTATTCAATAGAAAATAACGCTCTGAATAGAATGACATATTATCATATGTCTGTCATCTTTTGACATTTTAGCATATGATTTATTTGAAATTATAACATGCGGTTCATAATGAAAATTTGACTCAAATACACAGGGTGTGGTATCAAATTATTCGTAAAAAATGCTTTTTCGAAATATGCTATTGAGCCACCCTCGTTTCATTTGAAAATATTAAGATATGATTAAAAATACGATTTTGGCATCTTTTAACCGTCCAGGACAAGACACTAAAAACGACGATTATTAGACGATCAAATCTATTTTTCCAAGGCTCCTTGATATAAATAGGTGTTTTTAACATAGCCGTGGCACTCTAGATTGAAATTACTTTTTTTAATTTAAAATACGATTTTTTATTAAGCTAAAATGTCAAAAATTGACATATGAATTCAGAACTATGACTATTCAGAATGTCACTTTCTATCGAATAAAGTAAAAAAATGGGTGTCACTTAAAAATCAAAAGTTGTATAGTCATTTCCGGTGAAACAGGAAGTGGCCAAAAACAATTGAATATGTCAATCAATCCTAATTTATGTCAAACTAACATACCAAATCTTGTTTTTTTATCTGAAAAAATAAAAAAGTTATAGGGTGTGAGCAGTGGCCGATACAGAGGGGGGGCCATGGGGCCCGGGCCCGGGCCCCCCCCTAAAATCTGTAAATTGTGTTATATATTAGGCTTTTTTGTTAAAAATGACGCCCTAAATGGCATATTCCACATTACTTTTTATTTTGGCCCCCCCCCCTAAAATAAATTCCTGTATCCGCCCCTGGGTGTGACCCACTTTTGAGACGCACCCGGTATACAACAAATGTAACAAACTCGAAATTTGTTACACCCATATCTGATGAGCACCCACGAGGTTTTCTAAAAGCCGGCGCCCCTGGGAGGAATATACTATACCTTGACACCTGTTTTAAAATATAGATTCTGATCTACGAAAAATATTAAACTCTTTGTTTTATTGCAGAACTTGCTTCTGGTTCAAAGGACCCATTAGATCAGCTGCTAGAATCTCCGAACGCTAGCACGTCATCAGTGCCTCACATGTCGGAATTTGTCGAGACAACGTTAGACGAAGACAATTCCCGTCCCTCGAGTAGCAACGATCCTATGTCACCCATGGCTGGCGAGTACTCAGAAGACGAAGGCGATTCAGACTTGTCCAGCGACGATATGAACTAATAATGCTTTCTCAGCGATAACGTAGATTTTCTCCGAGCACTTTATTTAACATTAACCATTAGCAGTTGTAATGTTTTACAGAATCATTTGCCAATTCTTACGACTTGAGATAATAGTACGAGTTTCGTGGTAAAGTATGACAGAAACTTGTCATTAGTGTCATAAACCAGACCTTATCACATTTTGTCGTTATCAGTCCAACACTTTTTTTACGATGCAAAAAGGATCTGAGAAGAGTATTTGCTCAAAATCTGCTGGTATGCTTTTATACAAATTAGAATTTTTTATATTGAGCGAATTACCAAGGGTGGTATACAGTGTGTGTCAAAAAGTTTGTAAGATATATTTTCAGTTATTGAAAAAAGTTTGTGTATTTAGTAAATCACAGTCAATAACAAAATAAAACACTAAATAACCACAATACACCAAAACCCTTTTACTTTTACACTGGAGGCGCGTTTCGCTAACCATGTTAGCATCATCAGCAGATGATTAAAAACTGAAATTTTTAATCATCTGTTTTTATCAGTTTTTAATCATCTGCTGATGATGCTAACATGGTTAGCGAACCGCGCGTCCAGTGTAAAAGTAAAAGTGTTTTGGTGTATTGTGGTGATTTAGTGTTTTATTTTGCTGTGTAACACCAAAGGTTCCAACCCCCAATCATAATCAATAACAAAAGAAAATTTTATTCACATAAATGTCAGGTGATGTCACAGTGACGATTTGCGAAAATACCTGTATATGTAAAAAGTAGTATTAAAAGACAAGATATGGGCAAATATGAGAAAAGCTGTTTTGAATGTGACTGTATAACTATGTACCTATTTTAATATACAGGGTTTTTAAAAAATATCAATCTTTTTGGTTTGATTTGGCATTTTGAGAAAATTTCCAAAAAAAAAACATTTATTCGCTAAATTTTTTGTTTCCAAACAAAGTAAACCCAACAAATTTGTAGGAATGGTTTATAGAAAAAAAAAAATACTTCAACCTAACGTACTGTTTTTTCATCTAGAATTAGAATACTTAGAGAATCTAATATAAAAGGTTATAAAATAATCTTGAACATAACCAAACCCCACTTTTTACATATTTAAATGTAAATCTTAGGTTGGTTAGGTTAGGTTGCCTAGCCTAACCTAACCGCCATGACAGCGGTCATATAGCATATCAAATTTTTTTTTGTTATTGAGAATATTGAGTTGAATATGCATTGAAATCTGCAACTTTCTTTCCATTTTTTTTCAAATTTGTTAGGCACTTTTTGGCATACACCGTATAAGAATGTTGATAAATGCATGGTTCATACTCAACACTGCAATATTATTTCTAACCATACATATACACTACACAATAAAGGTTTCAAAAAGACAGTAGACTAACTTTTGAATGTATAGTCAAACTATACATGTATATGCGAAAAGACTCAATTTTCTAGAATATCTATAACTTTCTATAAAATTATCTTTTTATTCCCACCATTCTAATATAACATTTAAAGTAACAGATTGAAGGTTTTTTTTAAATATAAGATCTATAAATGAATAAAAATATTTTGTAATCAAAATGTAATTGTAAATGAAAAATATTCATCATTCCTTATATTTTATTCGAAAAACAGGAATAGGAAATATTGAATATTTTAACTCATAAAGAAAAATGTACTAGGAAGAAAGATATAGCATTCCAAGAGCCATATAAACTAGTTAATATAACCAAAAATAATGATGTAGTGAGTAAAATTTAAAAAAAAAATAGAAACTACAACATCTTATATAAAAAAAAAACATACTTAACAGCAACGGCCGTTCTATAATTATTAAATTTCTATAATTTTTAATTAGTTGGTGAATATAAAAATTATAAATTTCTCGTTTGTCTTATTTTAACATCAAACTATAAGATATAGCCCATCCAACGAGAAGATCTGACAGTGACAGTTGAGAGTTGCATCTGTCATTTTAATTCAGAGGAAAATTGTACTTTCTGTCATTTTTTACATCTGCCAAAATCTTCCCTGAGCCGTTGGACAGATTTTAGTTAGTAACATTTGTATGGTACCGTTTTTATGAGACAACATCCCTTAAGGTGAGTGTATATGCATCCGTCGTGCATCATCCGTCATTCTGTCACACAAATCAAACAAAAAAATTCATAAATTTTGAGAACTACTGGATCTTTTCTGGGTTGTCTATCTTTTAAATTTAGTCTACTATCTATGTTGCCATATTATGAAGATATTACGTTTCTTAACTAAAAATTAAATAAGTTTACAAAACTTTTTTCAAAAAATTCCAAATTTTAAAAAAATTGCATAAAAAAATAGACGTGTTTCTGGGGTCTAAATATACTACCCTAAAAAAATTGCACTTATTTAAGACTCGCCCTGTATATCCCCTTTTTGTATACCTAAATAAATAGAAAGTTATGCAGCTTTATTATCATTTATCCAAACGAAACCTTCAAACAAGCATTTAAATCAATGGTAAATAAGCTTATGAGGAATTTAGTACACCTTCCAATATTTTTTTTATTAGGCTGGACGCACATAGAAAGACTGCTTGCCTTTTTGACAAAACTTTTTCGTTTTTGTCCCGGGAAAAATCGATTTTTTTGTATTTTATGAAAACATTATGCTTTGAAGAGAAGCAAAATTATTTATTTACATTAAATAGGCACGGCAGCAGATACAGAACGGATCGCGACTAAGCCTGGACATACAAAGCAAAACAGTCGCGAGCATTAAGATAGGTTTAGGCTCATTTAGTCACAGTGAGCCTGATCGATGTCAAGCGCTAGGTTGTCGTTTTACGATAAAACATTTTTGGCATGCATGTTTGATTGTAAATAGAAAATTTTGCATAATTGAAACATAATTGTTTATCTTTTATAGACATAAATGTTTTTGGCTAAAACAGTTTTATTCTTTCTGTATGCGTTCAGCCTAAAATGTTTTAACAGCGACGATTAATCAGCTTGGCTGTCTAAATGAGCCTAAACCTGTCTTACATCTCACGATTGATCGATGTGCGTTAGCCCATTTTATTTGGATTAAGGCGTCACATGAAAACATTTTTGACTAAAACTATTTTGTTCTTTCTGTGTCCGTCCACCCTTACCAATTGAAGGGTCCAGGGGAAAAACAAGATAAGCGCCATTTTACTAACTTTACAGAGCACTGGACGGCTGGTGGTTATCAGGTTTTTTCCTTGTATTCTATATTTTAATAGGCATATATCATAGCATTTAACAACTTATTGCCCTGCGCAGTTTATACTTTTTGTAGGGACCAGTTAGACCTAACTATAATATTGTAAAATCCTAAAATTAAGAAAATGGCGCTTATCAAGTTTTTTCCCTGGACCCTTCAATTGTACATCCAAACACTGCAGGCATATAAATATATGCTATAAGAAACACTAATCTTATTTTGATTTAATGCTATAACTTTGTATCATGAAATATATTGCACTAATATATTAAATAATATTGCTTATTTCAGACTAAACTAATTTTTACCAGTTTTGAGCTGAACTTTTTATGCACTATTGTTATTTATCAGCATAATACCTCAGGTAGAAAAGCTCTATACCGTGCTGGCAACTGTTACTTTTGGGTCGGTATTTACATGTGTGGAAGTAACTCGCATAGGGATCTTATAAGTCGAAGTGAGTGAAATGCGACGGTGTCGTTGCGGCGTTGCCGGTGCGACTTTCCCTATCAAGTAAAATAAAATCTAGTAAACCGCTTATCTTTAAACTACTTTTTTTTCGAAACGGGGGTGTCCATTTTTTTTATAACGATAAAACGTCAATAATCGCGATAATTTAAAAACTCTTTTCGTGAACTTTTTAACACATAACGCGCCATAACTTAAAAACCACTTTAGACATTGAAACTTTTTATTTTATTTTGAAGATTGTATCTTTTACAAGATGTTTAAATAAGAAAAATTCGATGAGGTTATTTTTTCCATTCAAAAATTTTAAACAACCCATCCGTTTACTTTTAGTGCATAGCAATTTTCAGCAATCGTGTAACTTTTTTATTTATAAAGATTTCACATACTGTCTGCGAAGAAAATATAGCAGAAATCTAAGAAAGTTTTTAAAAAAACTACAATCAATTATTTTCAATAGATTTAGAGACATCGATTTTTGAATTCTAATAGCGCGACCACTGTCGAACTCCATCTCAATTCCACTTATTTTTACCAAAAATGCAAGTGTTTCTAACTTGCACTTAAAAACGTTTAAGTTATAGGGAAAATTACGACGACTCGTTAATAAATAAACAAATAAAATATCGCGAGACGTAATTAAATCGTTTTAAGTACTGACAGAAGTACTGAGTGGGTCGACCGGTCGACGGCGCCAAATCTGCTATATCCCCTTCCACGTCTGTGTACACGGTTTATTTCATACGTTTGGCAACGTGTTTACTGTTCGCTCTTTGTTCAGTACATTATAAACGCATTGTACTCTTCTTACATACGGAAATCTCGATCCTTGACTAACCTTTGCCAGTCCTTAATATACGAAGTACAGCTTCTCAAATTAAATGTACATACACAAAATACAATGTGATTAAAAAGTTTTTCATAAATCGAATTTGGCTAAGGCAAATAATAATTTTTTACATAAAATTACATTACAGTACATTTCAACTATTAACATCCAAAGCTACATTGATTTTAGTACAGAAAACTTTTTAATGATGTGGTGTAACAAGTGATAAATCTAAAACGCTTATAAATTGTCGAATTTTTAAAATTGTTGTAGCGACGTAGTAGAGGACCAAATTTTTCAATTAATGTTCTTTATGGTATATTAGAAAAGATTGTAATTTGTATTGAGATAAACTTTACATGCACGAGATAATTAAATCTATCTTAAATTTTATTATACTAATTTATCTTATGCAAAATTGTATATATAGTTTTAGAGCACATAAACTTAAACCAATATTATTTTTGTACATATCAAATTTAATATAGCTAAGTACATATATTAAAATTGATTTATATTGTTAGATTAAAATTAGGTTTCAAAATTTAATCATGCACATGAGAATTAAACGAAAATCCTTATTTTTAATAATACACTGTACAGAATCTAATATCTAAATAGAGTATTGCATGTGTTATTAATATTGATTCAATGAAGTTTTCTCAAAACTCAAGATGCCATTTTAGGGTATTGTTTAATTATTTTTTTGTTAATTTATGTGGAATATAGTACAACTATAAAAGTACATTTCAACTTCTGATTTAGGGGCAAAATAATACATCAAACAGTATTTTCAGAATATTGTAGATTTTTTTGTTTTGAATCAATAAATAATTATTACCAACCAACGTATTTTTCTTTACTGCAAATCATCATCATCGTAGAGGTCATCAAAATCTGAAAATATATGACATGATATGAGTTAATAAGATATTAGTTATCTGTCTATTGTGAATATTTTATAATATCAATTTTTATTTATATTCAATGTTGTAATAGGAGAAACATTCCCTTATAAAAACATGTATTCGCACAAACGAGCATGTATAAGTACAAACTGGAACGTCCCTATAAACATGTTTTAAAGTGATTATTCTTGGGTATGAGCATAAGCTTTTTACAAAAATAATATGTTCTCTTTATGTAATATAATACACCATATTATCTAGATATTAAGCAAGTGACATGGGCAAAATTACAGTGTACTATTATACCCTTATTATATAGATTTAGATACTGATTTGCCCTTTTAATTTACAAGTTGCAGTTAGGATGCAAGGATAGATAGGATTTTCTGAATACCTATTTGTTCTTAATTTTTCTCTTTTTTTTTTGGTTCTAAATATTCTCAAAATTCTCATTTTTCTTGAGCATAGTAAAGCAAACGAGAAAATTCAGAACAAATTTTAAATAAGTAACTATAGTAAAAATATGACAGTCAGACAAACCAATATGTGGGGACACAACGCGTAAGCCCTAACCATAGATAAAAGAAAATAATCTACTATTGGCCCTACCTCAAACGCGCTGTCAAAAAAGTCTTGTCACTCAAAGAGATTTCTGAAGGCTAAAACTTTGTTAAGGTAAAAGTGAATAACAATATATTTATTAATAAAAACAGTCAGATTCGTCGATAATAAAAACCCGTCAGTCAACAGCTGATGGAAGCGAAAATAGTGACAGTGCAGCGCGCGTATAGGCGGGTCTCTTCTCAATATATATATGGATATTCATCAATAATTTCACACAAAACAAAATAATTTAATGTAACACCTTGGTAAAAATTGTTTTATGCAAAAAAAGATGTCTCTTTTTATTTGAGACCGTTTTTCTCCAACATTTATAAACTACATGTTTTAAAATATATTTTTCTTATACTATTTATGTTAAAATATCAATAATAGATAATCACAAATCCTATTCTCCAGTCTCGATAATCCAGTTCTACTATCGATGAGTCTTACTGTTATTAATAAATATGTTTTCATTATTACCTTGCAAAGTTTTAGCCTTCAGAAATCACTTTGAGTGACAATAATTTTTTGATAGGGCGTTTGAGGTAGCGCTTACACTTTATGTCTTCATACTGCTCTGTCTGACTGTTATATTTTTGTTTTAGTTTGCATTCTATTGTTATCTACAAATTTTCAGCCTTCAGAAAAGAGTTTGGAGGTGTAATTAAAATTACACCCTTGCGTGTTTCTCAGCGCCAGGTGTCCTGGAACTGGAACTGTTTTACTGACTGTACCTTTGCTTTTTAACAGTAAAATGCAATCCACTGAGCCTTCAAAAACTCTTGCATGTTTTTGCAACTGACTCGTGGACTACAATTATAAATTCTGTACATTTGCTCATATTCTCGTTCATACTCGGGGAACGTTCTCCAAAAATAATATTCCTAAATTCTCAAGCATTTTACAATATTTATATGTATATAGTATTTTATAAATTCTTACCATTAAAGAAGTCTGCATGAACCACTTTCTCTATGGCAGTTATATCCATCAGCAAGGAAGCTGATCCTCCTGCCTAAATTAAATAAAACTTTTTTAATACACTGGTCATGTGATTTTTGTATAGAATAATCAGTATGTATCGGCCATACGGAATAAATTCCAATATAAATGGGGGCGCCTGTTTAAAATGTTTTTACATTTTTTTCTATGAAGACTTCTTATACAAGGTAGCCAACAAAATTGCAAATTTTCAAAAAAAAAAGAATTTGTCAATTGCTGTCCACATTAAAAAATCAATATGAAAACAACTAGTCGATAATAAAAAGAAACCTACCTATTTCTAATTAACTATATAACATCTAAGCACTTTATAAGAGCTTCTACCACGTTACTTAACAGTGGACTACGAGGTTCAAAAGGATTTTCGGCAAACTACATAATAAATTTTACCTCGTCAAATTCCATATAGGGTCCAGCTCCTTCTGGAAACATTTCGTCTGCTACAATCGTAGGTTTCATTGTATTTGATGAATCTATTTTGGCTTAAAATTGAAAACACCACACGAAAGATAAATAACGATCAGCTGTTGTGAATTTGGAAAATAAATGTCAACCACAGATGTCAACTTTGGACATTCTGACCATAGAAGAAGTAATTGACATTTATGGATTTATTTGAACTACTGTTCAAGGTCAAGAAGAAGGTCAAGCATAATATTTTGAGCATAGATTTTTCTATGGGTTAGCTGTATGCCCAGGTATCTAAAGGTAAGGATTATATTACAGAAGAAGAAGAACATTTCTATATATCGAATTTATACGATTATCCCATTTAACCAAAAGTATAAAAGTGAATGGCCGTATAGTCCTGGCAACTTAGGCCGTAAAACCAATCAACTAGCCAATCAAGTTAAAAAAAAGATAAACATTACTTTTATTCTGTGGTTACAGATATTTTAAGACCTGAAATACGAAAAAGAAGAAGAAAGCTGGTGGCGCTATTGTGGGAAAAGTGAGAAAATTTTAAACTAATTGTTTTCAAGGTTGCCAAGATGTTACTTACAAACAAATTGAACTGTTACAAAATAATAATAAAAATATAATAACACTTAACATAAACATTATTTCAGAATAAATAATATTTTTTCGTAGACAAAGCATTTTATCTATACCCAATAAATGGTTATTTTATTTTATATTTGCACAATCTGACAACGTTGGCAGTGCGACATTTTCCGTTTGATTTTTTTATAGAAAATGTGATTTTTATACACATCATTTGAGTGCATTCTGTTTCTTAAAGTTTTTTTAACCTCCTAAAAATGTAAGTATATCTTTAAGTATATATTATTTTTCACATTTTCTGTAGTTTTATTCACGTTTAAATATTTCAATTAAATATTAATTTTTTGTAACAGTGTTTTTATTCATTGTCAATTCGATTCTGTTTGCGTTAATGTTAATTTATTGTTTAATTCGAAAATAATGTTTGTGGTAAGAATAAACAAATTTAGTATCTTAAAATTTTTATTTCTTCCTATTTAATACAAAAAAATGATAAAAAAATAATAAATTTAAAAGAAACGGATAGATAAATGTGCCCATATTTGGACCTTACAAAATAATAGGTTTGTAATAAATATGTTACACATTCATCAATGTAGAGATCCTAGTTGAAAATATTCTATGCTAATATCACATGTCCCTTTCAATAAGATCTTAATCACAAAATGCTTAGGCATTAGCTATATTTTTTAACAATTATTTAAAGATTTTTTTTATCTGAACTGGAAAACTGATTATTTATTTTTATTTTTAACAAACAATATTCAATATGCATTCGAAAATATACCTACGTTTAAAACCAGTCAATTAATGCTCTTATTTGTTCTGAACCTACTAATATAAGTTTATATGAAATCGTATATATAAAGTTATACTGTATATTTCAAATACTAAGTAGATTTTTGTCTTAAAAATTAAAACTCATATATCACTAACCTAATTAATCTCAAAAAAATGTAATCACAACTTATAATTAGGTATAAAATCAACTGTGTAAATTTTTAAATATACAAAATATCATAGTGTATTTTTTTTTGAATACAAATATTTGAAATCCGTATATAAATAAGTCAATGTTATACGAAATACTACACAATCGAAAAAAAAACGCAGCAAGGTAGCCTTTGAAATGAGTCAATAATTTCTGTCCTACCGCGTATGTCATTTAATAGACTAAAGTTACTAGCTGAATGGAATAAAGTAAAACAATCCTAGGCACGCAAATTTATTCGATAAAAAAATATTTTTTCAAAAGAGATTTGTGTTTGAAAATGTCTAGTTTTTCAATATTAAATATCAATTCTTGGAAATTTTTAATGGGAAACATAAAGAGGTAAGCCCGACAGTGTAACTCATATTTCTGTATCATACGGTATATAAATCTAATAATCTTAAACAATTAACAAAGGGATATAACTAAATATTTATGTATTATGTCTTATGATACATACTGCCTAGTAAACTGTCTGAAACTACAAGAAAAGTATTGAAGTATACCGGATGCGTCCCAAAATTGGCTCACCTCTATAACTTATTTTATTTTTTCAGATAAAAAACGAGATTTGGTGTGTTAGGATATGACATAAAATAGAATTGACTAACGTATTCAATTGTTTTTGGTTACTTCCAGTTTCACCGGAAATGACAACTTTTGATTTTTAAATGGCACCCTCAGTATATTTCTACTTTATTCGATAGAAAATGACACTTTGAATAGAATGACATTTCATATGTCAACTTTTGACATTTTTGCATATTCATATGGTTTATTTGAAATTGTAACATGCAGTTCATAACTTGATTTGAAATACCAAGTGTGTGGTACCTACCAAATTATACGTAAAAAATTGCTTTTTCCAAATATGCTAATGAGCCACCCTCGTTCCAATTGAAAAAATTGAGATATGATTAAAAATGCTATTTGGGCATCTTTTAATCGGCCAGGACAAGACACGAAAAATATTAGATCATCAAAACTATTTTTCTAAGGCTCCTTGATTAAACATTAGTGTTTTTAACACACTAGATTCACTCACACTCTAGATTGAAATTCAAAATACGATTTTTTTAAAGCAAAAATGTCAAGAGTTGACATATGATATGTCATTCTATTCAGAATGTCATTTTCTATAGAATAAAGTAGAAATATACTGAGGGTGCTATTTAAAAATCAAAAGTTGTAGTCATTTCCGGTGAAACCGGAAGTAATCAAAAACAATTAAGTACGTTAGTCAATCCTATTTTATGTCATAATATACTAACATACCAAATCTCTTTTTTTATCTAAAAAATAAAAAAGTTATAGGGGTGAGACGCACCCGGTATTTTTATATATTGTAAGTTAAATTTTTAACAAGAGTTTCAAAGTTAATACGAAATACTACTAAAGTCAATAACTTCAGTAATAGGCTCAGCTAGAAACGAAATATTTTTACGCCTGTAATCACAATTTCAATTAATCACCATAACAGTTTTATATAGAATTCCAAGAGTTAAGTAAGAATACGAGTGTACTTTCGAGATTATACAGCTTTTTTAAATAAAGAATATGTAATTAAGAAAATTTGGAACCTGCGTACCTACATAAAGTCTATGTAACGAGCCAGGGAAGATTTTGTCAAACGACATCCAAAAAAAAATAAAAATTCGCCTATCTTAAGGTGCGTTCACACCGCAAAACGGCGCAATACATTTTTTTAACATGTACTTTTGAAGTGTTTTTTTTAGCGCGCACAAAAGTATATGTTAAAAAAATGATTTGCGCGGCACGGCGAAGCCGCAGCCGGTATGAATGCACCTTTATGTCTTATTTTACGTAGCCAGCCGAATTTTCCATGGAAGCTTCGTTTAAAAATACTGTCGAAACTGGTACTCTGAATAAGCTGTGGTTACACTAAATGACGTCACCGCCTCCGCTTTAACATGTAGATCGATAAATATGTACCGTATGATCGAGAAATTCGGCGTCGAGTTGGTTTCGAAATGATAATCGGTGACATTCACCTATATGCGATGTTCATTTCCAAGCCAATTCTTCGATTGTATCATACCTCTATCTATATAAATCGAAATTATTCACGTTGATACACACTACATAATCTTTAAATACGTTTTGATTTTTTTCACAACACTAATATTCTTGTTTATATATTAACTAGTTATTCAGTGCGACTTAGTTCTGGGAGTTCACTGATAGATGGCTACGAGAATTGCATCGCGGGAATTTCTAATTAAGTGAGACAATCGCAAGAACGATAAACTAAAAAGAATTATTAACCTAATAAGTTTACCGTTCTTGCGATTGTCCCACTTAATTAGAAATTCAAATTTTTGAAAGACCCGCGCTGCAGTCTTGTAGCCATCTATCAGTGAACTCCCAGAACTAACTCACGTTGAATAACTAGTTAATATATAAACAAGGCTAATATGTTTTTGTGTTAATTTTAAAATTGTGTTATTCTATAAAGTACTCACAACTGAATAACATGTACTAAATGACAGCGTGGTGCTGAAACATTGGTGCTATTCTAATATTTTAATACGTCATTCTTTACTTGAAGCAGGATAGAGTTTTCATAGGTATGTAGTCTTTATCATCCCCCGTGTCGGCAAACCTGCAAGAGGCGAAAGGTTTGTGGAAATTATATTTAATTATATTTTAAAAACAAACGCATGCCTTAACAGAAACAAGAAGCAAATTTAAAACATGTTTATAGAATTTTTATTGTCAGATTATATTTTCTTAAATATTTTATTTTTTAATTACGTCATCATATATGTAATTCAAATATAACACCAATAGGGGGACTATTATAGGAGTAAAATAAAACAAGCAAATATTGAAGAAAAATTTATTAACTGTTGCACAATATTCGTACAATACCTTTTTTGTTCCTCACAGCCCAGTAAACATTTTCAAAAAGCAAAGTTTTAAATCAAATAATCTTAATTACGTTTAATATTCATTTTCATTATATCGCCATCAATCAAATCAAATTTATAGTAAGTTAAAATTGTGAATAACTAATTCGGAAGGATTTTATTATTAACCACACACAAATACCTAAAGACTCATATACGTATCGGCACACTAATATTTTATTTTTGGTATATTATATTTTATAATTCAGGGTACAAAATAAAGAGTAGCATAAACTAGGTATTTTGATTTTGAGTATGTGGCGATCAGTGAAATTATGAAGCGATCATTTCCGTTACCGTCGAGAAAAGGAGAAGGCCTGATGCCTTAACTCCTGACGTCATCTAAAGAAGGCGATTGACGGAACTCTACACACATTTGGACATTCCAAATTTAATCGTTGATGGCACTGTAATTTTTATAAATAATTGACCAGAAATATTAAAAAATAAATATTATATATGTTTCAACACAAAATAACCATTAATATTCTATTAAAAAAACAGATCTGTGTGTCAAATTCTTAAGTCACTGGCTATGTGACCTTCTTTTTCTCGATGGTAACGCCTATAGCCAGCTTATTTTTTTAATAGTTTTACATTTTTAATCAATTACTAGTACGTATTTAAAACTATATTTTTTATCTTTAAAAATACTTTAATTTTCTTTTTTTCCCAAGAAAATTACATAAAGATAACATAAGACGAACAAAAAAAAATTAGTTCCAAAAGAATAAGTTTTTAAGTGGTCAAGTATTTAGATCAATCTCCATGATATTTTATTGTAGATTGATAAACATATTTACAGCTTTCTAAGCTAAGAAAAGGTAACAGTCAATGACAAATTTGCTTTAAATAAACATTTTCGGGTTTGTTGACTAAATTTCTTAAAATCTGAAAACAAAACGTTAAAAATTATGACAAGCGATTACAATTGATATAATTAGACAATAAACTGGTTATGAATAAATGACATGTAAATGACAACTTATAAGTGTACGCCTTCAAATGATTTTTTATACAGGGTTGACAACGATCGGCTTTAGATCGCAATTTCTGTATGAAGGGAGAGTGCAGTGAATTTGTCCAATACAATCAAGTGTATTGAACAAAGAGAGAAGAGCATAAATATCCCTAAACGAATGAACTAATGCGTGAAATTAGTTGACTATGAACTGTCGTGTTCTTACTCTCTCCGACTTAATAAAATCTCTAGCAATTCACTCTCAGACATGTACTCGTAAATACCAAGATTCTCTCTTTCCGATTCTGTATATTTGCTAAAACAAACATGACGAATTTATGCTTGTATTTACTGACAGTTCAACTACACAAACATATTTATATTAAAACGTTGTAAAGACTCTTTATTTCTTGTTCAGTTCAGTGTAATGTTATTTTAAAGGGTTCATTGACCCGTCTAATAAAAAAATGGCGCCAAGACTACAGAAACCTAAAATTCACTAAACCCTGTTATGTTTACAGTCTTTATTTTGTACCCATGCGTTCTACTAATCCGGATACTTATTAAAAAAAAATAAAGATTTGGGAGATATATTATTAAGCAACATAACAAGTACACATGTATGGGGACTTTTTAGGATAAATTAGTTACTAAATATCCGGATTAAAAAGACTACACTGTTCAAAATTGAGATAGATAAATAAAACTCAAATCACTAATTCTTAATTCATAAATAAATTGTCACCATACAGGGAATAATAGAAAATATATATTTAAACGTAGTTGAAGACAAAATTAGATGAATTGCAAGACGAAAAGACATAATAGTCTGAAATATCTTTAAACGGTTTGTCAGAGAGCTTTTTTTAATGTATAAAGTATGGAGACAATTTTATAAAAACTAATACTAAAAACTGATATAAAGGGGGGCAATAACTACAATAATAATATTGTTAGTAATAATTTTATCATTAAATTCAATGGCGGCAGGTAGAATTAGAAAATGTGAAGGCACATTGCCAAAATTAAACTAGCGATTTGACAACAATGCATTTTCTCTTCAGAATAATTGTAGTGAAAATGCTTGTTTTGGTTTAACAATAATATAACAATATGCCCTCACAAATTTTTATAGCACCAGTCTCGTCACTGAAATTCTGAAATCAATCTGATTATTTATAATAGTAACGCAGAGCAAACTTCTAAGCAAATATATTTACTTATAGCCATAAATAGAAGGACTTCTAATTAATACCTAGTTTAGCTTTAGTTAAGAAATAACTGTATTCCTGGAGAATAAGTAATTTTATTCTACTTATCATGTTAATGTTGTTGATAGAAATATAGTATTATAAATTTAATTCTCATAGTATATTAAAATATTATTTTTGGGATTCTACTTCCTTTAACATAAGTATCTAGATCTCTAAATGTCATTATAGGCAGATAGTTACTTAAGAAATATATTATAATGACCTAACAAAAATATGTTAAACTTTATATAAGAGAAATAAAAGTAAAGGTTTTATTAATTTATTTATTAAAACTGTCTAAACCAAACCAACTATAAAAACTGAATAATTTCTCAAAGTTACAAAACAACACAAGAAGCATATATGGATAAACTTAACATCACATATCCCCCTATCAGTTCAGAGCAATTTTAAACAAAATATTAAAGTTTTAGTTTATGCCCATTAACTAATAAAGCTTTGTTAACAAAAAAAAACTAATAGAATTAATATGAAAATATAAGAGTATCTTATTTAAAACAAAGACGTAAATAAACATATTTCCAGGTAATATGTTGAATTATTGAAGTTGATATTCCTTAACAGGTATGAAGAAATTGGAGGTACATATATTAAAAATCAAAATCAAGAAAACAATCCAAATTTCCTTTTGTTTAAAACAGCTCTGCTTATAAACATAGTCTATTTTAGACTCACATAGAAAGGTAACCGCTTGCGTTCCAGCGTTTTCTTCCATACAAGTAGGCTCCCAAAACCAGGATAACCAAAACTGCTAAGACACATCCGACCACAATTGGCACGACATCAGGAGTGTTGACACCAGAACAATCCCATGCTGCAAAGAAAAAAGGATATATTAAATGAATACAAATAGCCAGGATTATTAGAAATAAGCAAAACTGCGATTCTCCAACTGCAATTGAAACTGTGATTGCGATTTTAATATTTAAATATTGTAATAGGCATTCTATTCAGAGCGTCATTTTCTATCGAATAAAGGAAAAAATACCGAGGGTACCATCACAGAATATCTAGGTACGCAACAGAAGCCTCGTTACACGTATAAAATCGTACGTATCAAAAGGAGACAGGCTTTTAAAGCTACTTTTAAAGCCTGTCTCCAAATCAGATATTTTGATGCGGGAGTTTCGCTACTACATAATAGAGGGCGAAAAATTTAAAAGAAAACAGTTTTCTACAAACGAAATTTAAAAGAATTTTATGCAGTGTTGCTATTGTGTAATTCATATTGTAATACTTCCTTATAAAGCCTACCTTCAAATTTGCTACAACATATTAAAATAGATCAGAGCTCTTTTTTCAAACGTTTAGTTAACTTGCCATGTTAGTTGGAGTTAAATCTTACGAACTGAATTACAATCACTTTGTGACGTTTGATTGTAATTGAATTTCCTGACGTTCGATTGGACTTATACTTGGTATAGTAAGTATCTTCGGTGACATTGTAATATGATGGTACTATGATGCATATAAAGTGGTAGCTTAAGTACCATATTACGATACCACTTCCTGACGTTCGATTGGGCTCATATTTGAATATGATTATACTTACGTATTTTTGCTAATTTTGCAGAATTATGGTACCATGAAGTACATCAAGAGGTACCATAATGTAGTACCATATTACGATACCATTTCCTGGCGTTCGATTGGTCTTAAACTTTGTATACTACGTGTGTTCGGTGACATTGTAATATGATGGTACTTTGATGCATATAAAGTGGTACCTTCTATAGTATCATATTATGATACCACTTCCTGACGTTCGATTGGGCTGATATTTGATTATACTTGCGTATTTTTGATGACATTGCAATATTATGGTACCATGAAGTACATCAAGAGGTACCATAATGTAGTACCATATTACGATACCATTTCCTGGCGTTCGATTGGTCTTAAACTTTGTATACTACGTGTGTTCGATAACATTGTAATATGATGATACTTTGATGCATATAAAGTGGTACCTTCTATAGTACCATATTATGATACCACTTCCTGACGTTCGATTGGGCTGATATTTGATTATACTTGCGTATTTTTTATGACATTGTAATATTATGGTACCATGAAGCATATCAAGAGGTACCATAATGTAGTACCATATTACGAGACCATTTCCTGGCGTTCGATTGGGCTTAAACTTGGTATACAACGTATCTTCGATGACATTGTAATATGATGGTACTATGATGCATATAAAGTGGTACCTACCTATAGTACCATATTACGATACCATTTCCTGGCGTTCGATTGTGCTTAAATTTGGTATACTACGGATCTTCGGTGACATTGCAATATTATGAAGCATATCAAGTGGTACCATAATATAGTACAATATTATGATATCATTTCCTGGAGTTCGATTGGGCCAAAATTTGGTATACTTGCGTTTCTTTATAAAAATTTGTTTAATTAATAATTTTAATTTATTTTACAAATTTTAATTTATTGTACGATGTCGTGACAGCAACTTTTATGCCGAACTAATATATTATTAATTGTACCTGTGTCACTTTTTAAAATCTACCTAGGTCTATATAAATAACGTGGCAAACAGAAGAAATCTGTTATTATAGTATTTTTTAGTGAATTAATATTTTTTATACTGCATTTAATAAATTATTTCCATTATTATTAAACGTATATTTCATTACTAACGTTTCAGCATCAATAAATATCACTATCCATCGCCCTGTATATTATTAATTTTAAAGATAATTAAATTTATTTTCTTAGTTAACATAATAAAGTAGTGTACATAATAATATATTAAAAATGTATTTTGTGAGCATATGTTTTCTAATAATATACTTAAACTTAAAACTATTTTAAAAGCCAAACGAATAATTAATATAAGCGTATCTGACAAGAAATGAAGAATAGAAAGAAATTATTATACACCAGAAAAAGAATAGGATGCCAATTAATGTCTTTTTGAATCTGGCAACTGTGCATATTTAGCTGAGCTTCAAGGCCGTCGACGTGCCGTCGATCCAAAACCAAAAATTGAAAATTTCCAATTATATTCTGACTATGATATTGTCGCGCCATCTAGTATTTTATTTGTGCAATTTTAGCTCTTTCATTTGAGTATTTTTCTGTTGCGTAGTTGGATATTCTGTGGTACCATTTAAAAATCATGTAGTAATTTCCGGGCAAACAGGAAGTGATAGAAACGAATTCAATACGTCAATCAATACTAATTTATATGCTTACATACCAAATCTCGTTTTTTTATCAGAAAAAAAAGTTATAGAGGCGAACCACTTTTGAGAAACACCCTGTATATTATGATCTTGGCTCTAGAAAATAATACTTCCTCTAAAAATAAAAAAATTCAGTCGCCATTTAACTATAAAATTCTAAAAAATAACTTTAAATTAAAACTACTACAAAATTGCATTCGCAACAAAATCGCAAATCGCAACTATAGTAATATTGGTTGCCTAAATTGGAACTCGCAAGTAGAAGAAATCACAAATCGCAGTAAAAAATCATTGAATCGCAGTTTGCGATTCGTTGCTTATCTCTAGTTGTTATGTTTTAAACATTTCGCTTAAAAGCAAGTGCTTTAAACTAGAGTTGGGTTAAAACATGAAATCGCATTTACAGGTGTACCGCGACCGTGATTTTTTATTCCCCGTGAAATTAGCCTTTGAACGTGAATTATCCCGTTAACGTTAATTTTTATGTTAGGGTTATGCTGTTGTCATAATTTCGCAGTAAACCTGTCCGTGATATAATAGCTTACTTATTATGGGTTATTCTTATTACCGATTCTGTAATAATTCGGTAATGAGATAAACCAGAACTATCTATACAGGGTGTCAAAAAATAGTGTATCTAACTTTGGTGCGTGAATATACAGATAAAACTAAAATAAAAAGTTCCTATGAACATATGCCCTAAAATGCTTCCCGAAGAAGTTACAGCCCTCGAAAAGTTAAATAATAATATATTTTGTTTATTTTTAAGAACGTTGGTAAACCGTTTTTCTTGAAATTTGGTACTCTTACACACATTTTAATGCCAAAGCGAATGGCGATAGTGTAAAATTCTGGCCCTGAAACAGTACTTTCCATTAGGGCAGAAAGTTCTTCTGGTGGTACTTCTTTTATCCTTATAGATACAGTAATTTCAACAAACGAAAATTAAAGCTATAGACTTTTTTATGTAAAAAAGTGCTCTTCGTTTAGTTCGAAATGGTGAACAGTTTTCAAGATATTTGCGTTTAAGGGTTCCGATGCATTGATTTTAGTATTAGCGAAATCAGGAGATTAATTTATTTAAAATTTCTTTTCATTTTATCATTTCACTAATATTACAGTTGGGGTTTGGAACCTTTGGTGTTACACAGCAAAATAAAACACTAACACCAAAACACTTTTACTTTTACACTGGACGCGCTTTTCGCTAACCATGTTAGCATCATCTGCAAATAATCAAGACTTTCAGATCATTGGTGCAAAAATGATGAAACGCAAATATCTTGATTGAATGATTGACTTTCATTGACTTCAGTCTTGATCATTGATAGCGAAACGCGCATCCAGTGTAAAAGTAAAAGTGTCTTGGTGTATTGTGGTGATTTAGTGTTTTATTTCACTAATACTAAAATTCTAATTTTAAGTAATACTACATCGTAATCTTTAAACGCAAATATGTTGAAATTTGTTTACTAGTTCGAACTAAACGAAGAGCACCTTTTTTACGTAAATAAGTATTAGCTTTTTATGGAATTTGTTGAAATTACTGTATGTATAAGGATAAAAGAAGTACCACTAGTAGTACTCTCTATTCTAATGGAAAGTACCCTAACACTCATTCGCTTTGGCATTAAAATGTATGTAAGAGTACCAAATTTCAGGAAAACACAGAGTTAGATACACTCTTTTTTTGACACCCTGTATATTACAGTTGAGGGTTGGAATCTTTGGTGTTACACAGCAAAACAAAACACTAAATCACCACAATACACCAAAACACTTTTACGTTTACACTGGACGCGCATTTCGCTAACCATGTTAGCATCATCAGCGGATGATTATAAACTGAGTTTGTGTGGTATATGATATGATATAATCATCTGCTGATGATGCTCAACATGGTTAGCGAAACGCGCGTCCAGTGTAAACGTAAAAGTGTTTTGGTGTATTGTGGTGATTTAGTGCTTTATTTTACCCTGTATATTGATATTTTTGAAACCACTATCGAGTTATCGATATATCGGGAAAATCTATCTCCAATCGTAAATATCAATATAAAAGTGGTCTTATGAAATTTTAAGGAAAACTCAAAATATAATATTCCTTTAATTTTCTTTGAATAATTTTTTTATAAGTATAACAATTGTTATACATATAATTTTTTTTGAAACATAAATATTAGTTGAAATTTTCAACTAATATTCAGGTTTTAAAAATTAAATTAAATTATACCCACAAAAATAAATTTTCATATATAACTATCGATATATCAATATATCGATAGCTATTAATAACCGATACTTATAGAAATGCTTCAATACATTGATAGGTGACGATATATCGATAACTATCGATAGTTATCGAAGTATCGGAAAAAACCATCCCTAGTTAGCACATGTTACTCTAGAACTATTTAAATAAATTTGAACTGCTCGTAAGCCTATGAATTTTAATTTGGACTTCAAAATATTTTATTTTATAGTTTTAGATAAGTTTTATTAGGTATTTGTTCTCTTGGTCTCCTATTAGTTTGCCGTTTAATGGTTAAAAATAATAAAGGAATCGATTATGATTCATACTTACATTATGACGAACATACTTTTGATAAAGGCACATTATTTTGTGGTACTTTGTAAACAACGTATAAATTATAGGGATTAAATACAAATAAAATTTTAGTAATTTTTTTAAGAAGAAAAAATATATTTAGTAGAGTTATTACTCATTTAATTATTAGTAATTTCTTAGTGTTTTGATTTAGTTTAATAATTATGCATTAATCATTACCCTTTGTGTTCAACAATATCAGATTATATGCATAATATTTTCTTTTATTTCATAGGATTTAAAGCATAAGATTACGAAAACTTATTAAATATGAATTAAATATCATTTTAAGCAAAACAAACAAAAGCGCAAATTAGGTAAAGTATTTCTAAGAGATTATTTTATTTATATACAATTATCAATTACATGTACTAATTGGATAAAAATTCAATGACACATTGTTATTATAAAACCAGGCTTCCGTAATCAACAATTTGTGGAGATCCAACTATTCAGACTGACTTATCAATATCAAATATTTATTATTGATTTTAAACGGGAAATGCAAACAGTTCGTTTTCATATTTAAGACTTAACATAAATACATGATAAATAGTAAAGAAGATAGTTTCTTTGTGAAACATCGTTGAAATATTATTATTAATAAAACACGCTTTTAGATGTGTCTTTAGATTTTTTTCTTTTTTTCTAAGGAAGTTCCCATTAAACTTCTCTACATACTGATCTGGTCATCAAAACTGTGTGGTCTGGATTTTAACATATAAGGCAGTGATACAGACAGATTAAATGAAAAATCAAATGTATTAAAAAGAGATAAAAGTTAGGTTGATACATTTCTTTTATGCAGTATTGCCGGATTCTGCATCAAAATTTTAAACCGCATAAGTAGGTGTTTACGAAAAACGAAAAATATTGCATCTAGGGTTGGAACTTTATTTTTCACAATTAGTTACTCATTTTTCTACGACTATAACAGATTCTCAAACAACTGTCTAACAGAAATGAGCATTATTGAAAAGTTTAGATATATTATCTTCATTTATTATTTTATTTCTCGTACAAACCGGCAATACTGTATGCCGCTTTTTATTTTGTCTCTCTGTCTGTCAATTGGTCGTATATATTTATTTCTGTTGTATACATTTTAATGTATACTGTACTTTAGTACAGACCACGTAAATAAAGTGACCAGGGCTAGTGTATGTTTCTGGTCGTTAGGCCTTTTTCAAGAGTTTCTTAAAACTAACCGCCTAACTAAAGTTTACTGATTTCTATCCTAACTAACGAAATATATTTGCTATGGGGATGGGTTTAAGCAGTTTAAAACAGGAGAAATAAAAGATAATTTCAAAACTCTTGTTGGTCGTTTATTATCGACCTTTTTACTCATTTTAATATTTCTAATTGTTCGAGGTAATTTAAGCGTCTGCCTTTTGATTCTCTATGTAGTAATTTAACTGAATTTACATTATTGTATAATAAAGTCACACAGTTAATATAAACGACTAACAAGTATTTTTAAACACATTTTTTATTGCCCCTGTTGGAAATAAACTTTTTAAACCCACCCCACAGCAAATATATTTATTAATAATAGCTTTATTTTCAAATTTGTTATAAAAATTAACAAATGAAATTACGTCACAAAGAAAACAAAAATACATTTATACAAAACTTATACATTTACCCAAAATAATCATTAAAACAATACGGTTCCGTTTCAGTTAACAATTTTTTAGTTTCTTTTTTAAATATTTTTAAACTTTCAATTTTTCTTAATTTTAGAGGGAGCTTGTTAAAATACTTAATACACATATACTCAGGATTCCTTTCAGTTACTTGAAGGCGATGTATGGGATATAAAAGATAGTCCGCTCTTGTGGTATATTGGTCTTTATTTGGCGCTTGAAATAAACCTTTGTTTTGATATACAAATATTAGACATTCGTATACATATAATGCATAGACTGTCATAATCCCCAGTTGTCTGAAAATAGATCGGCACGATTGATTATACTCCATTTTCTGTATTATTCTTATAACCCGTTTTTGTGCAACAAATATATTTGCCATGTTTTTATCACGGCCCCAGAATATATACAAAAAACTGTAGTTAGGCGGTTAGATTTAAGAAACTTTTGAAAAAGGCCCATCAAGCCTAAACATACACATATGTAGAGATAAAGTTATTCCAACTAAACTTGAAACATCTAAGACTGTTTTATTAAAAAAATAATATAAATAATTTTTGTTATTTACTCTCTAAAACAAGGCCATCTGATTAAATAGAGATAGACTATGAACTGCAATAAATAAAAAAATCAATATCTTCGAGTAATAAGTATTTACAAAAACTTCAACATTCCTTAGTCAGATCTTATAATAAACTGCAAAATTTTTATCTAATACAAGCAGATTGTAGAATGCTCGGGAATTTATTTTTGGAAAATTTTCATCGAAAATGAATGAGAATAAATGAACAGAAACGAGAAAATGTCAGTAATTTATAATTACGCCAAAATTAGATTAGAAGATTAATCACACAAACTTTTTTAATTTTATTCTCATTAGTACAACAGCTCTTAGTATTCTCAAGAAAAAAGAAAAAAATTGAGAACAAATAGGTAATCGGAACGTTGTCCTTAATAGTATACTGGGGAATCCCCGAACTCCTAATTTCGGCTAGAGGTACAAAAAAAAACAGGTCGCAATTTTCTCGTTATCACATTGTCGTTTAAATACTATAAAATGAAAATACTATTTTTGTACAAAGCTTATGCTATTCAGACTCAAAAATTAAGAACCGCTAAAAAAATGTAAAAATGTTTTCAGGGAACGTTCTCGTTTGTGCTGATCCGTGCTCTTATAAGGGAATGTTCTCGCACAATGGTCTTGAACGTTCACGAACATTCCCTTGTCAGTGGAAACATTCTCTGTATTACAACACTACATAGAAGGTGGCTTTTGAAAGAGGTCAAATTATAGAAAAGTTGAACAATTTGGTGACCAAAAAGATGCCGTTTTGCAAATTAAAAATATCCAAATAGTTCCGAAGAGACTCGAAAGAAACTGAAAAATTGTAAAATTATTTTTAATTTTTCCTGTATTGATTCAAAGAGATATTTTAAAATAAATGATACTTCATCAACTGACTCAAACTTACAACTCACTGGCCAACAAAAATGTGTTGTATACTGTTTTATTAGGAGTAAAAACGATACTTTTTGTGGCGAGACTGTACATTTGACATTGCAGGCAATGCACAAAAAGGATTTTTCTCCAAATAGAACATGCTATTTTTTTTTCAAACGTCACAAATCATTTTTAAACAATTTCCAGTGTTGCAAATAGTATAACAAGATTTAAATGTAATACCTAGTAAGTAATTCTATGTCCAGAAACTACGGTTACACTCGTTTAATTTGACACTTTATGTAAGTTTAATTTGATTTAATATATTTTCGGACGTTCGAAAGTTCTTTACTTTTATGCCTAGGCGTTAAAATGACTTTTTTATGTTGTCAATCACGTTGCAAAAATTAATACTTTTGTGATGTTTGAAAAAAAGAATTTTGTTGTTGTTACCTAATAAATACGAAAATGGTGCAATTTTTAAAACTCCTACAAACCATAGAAAAAACTTAGAAAATGGAACTTACCTGTATTAAATTCCTGTTTGCTAGAGTTTGTAAAAGCTTGGTATTGGAGATGGCTAAGATGTAGCTGGGCAGCTTTAGTAGTAGAGTTGTTTAATACAGCTAGATCCAAAGTCTGCACTTTATCACATTTGTAGGATTCAGAGACGCGAGCCGGAAAAGCAGTTTTGTTGTAAATGTATAAATCACTTCCTACAAAAAAAACTACACTTACTAATAGAATTATACCTCAATCGTGCAACATTCAATATACACAACAAAAATATTTTGTTTTCTCACATTTAATTTTTATTAACTAAAAATTTGCTTAATTTTAATAAGTACTTTAAAAAGCCCCAAACAAGTTTATCTCTAAAATAAAATGGGGAAACTTTTTTTTATCATGATTTAACATTTATTTCTATTTTTAGAATGGCAATGTAATATTCACATAAGGTAGATTTTTCCACTGGGTATAGGCTTGGTGCATTCTCCGCCGGTGCTGCTACCATCGGAGAATATCTTAAAAAAACTAGCATAATATACGGGTTTAAATAGCGAGTATATGAAAAATATATCATTTAATTTTTCTAAAAGTGTTAGGGAGTATAATTTGTGAAAATTTTAAAAATAAAAATAAAAAAATTGGTCAAGTGCGAGTCGGACTCGCGCACTTGACCAATACTTCCGTACCATTCATTATCTATACAACATTAGACACTATATTATTATAAACTTTTTTTTCCGATTTAGCTGAAATTTTGAATGCGCGTATAAGTAATTTAAAAAAAAATGAAGAAACACATTACTAAAAATTGTATTAATCAATAATAAATATGTAAAAATTAAAAAAAAAAACGATTAAACAAAAGTCGCCTTGACTAGGATACGAACCTGCCTTACTACGTCATAGCAGCGTAAAGTCCTAAAGCTTTAACTACACGGACTTGAAAGATTCTATGTAAAATTCTTACTTAAAAGATAATGTTTAGTAAAGGTACATTTTTATTTATGAACATTTATTTAATTCTGTTTTTAGTATTTGTTCTTATAGCGGCAACATAGATACATTATCTGTGAAAATTTCAACTGTCTAGCTGTCTAGCTATAACGGTTCATAAGATAGACCTTTGTGACAGACGGACGGACGGACAGCGAAGTCTTAGTAATAGGGTTCCCGTTTTTACCCTTTGGGTACGGAACCCTAAAAAGTAAATATTTCGATATCTTCAGAAGGTCTAACTTGTGTTATAATTTATTATTCCAGTTAAAAAACTTTTTAGATGAGTTCAACTACGGTAGCCAGCATAGTTTTAATCACCGGTTTGGCTAGTGAGGCATAATTGGGGCTATTTCGGCTGTAACGAAATGTTTTAAAGGTACATAATTATAATTTTAGAAGATGTTCATAAAACATTACGTTGATTAAAAAAAGTATACCGTTAATATTGAAAATTGTATTTTATCCTCTCATAGTATATGTGTATTTAATTTTTTGATTATGTAACGAGCACTTTGTTTACTCACTTGTTCCCTCCAATCCAACTACTTGAATTCATTTTTGCTTTTGATCAAATCGGTGTGAGAAACTATGAAGCTATGAAATGTTGTTTCGAGAGAGTTGAATACCCGGGAAAGTTGAGTTATTGAATGTTACTGCGCCCAACAACGCCCTAATTACACTCTCTTTTACACGTTTTAACATTTTTTCGGCAATTTTATTAACATTAGAAATTGTCACAACACAACACGACGCGACGCCTAGTTCGAACTTTTTTTCACTTAGTTTTTTTTAGTTTTATTTATGGTTATGGTTTTATAGTTTCAATAACTACACTAGCAAAAAACCAAAATACTTAAATATTATAACAAAACCACGATTTCAATATTATTTTAATGCGGTCAACATGACGGCGCGGCGGCGTGAACTATATACTGATAATTCGTTGAAGCGCTGCGGTCGGAATTTGTTAAAATCAACTGAAATGCACCAAGCCTTATAGACTTGGTGCATTTTAACCGAGATTTAAAAGTTCTGCAAGCAACGCTCGGTATGGCAGAAATCAGAACTTTCCGGCTACTTTATTTCATGCGGTCCCGATTACCGTTCATGTTGATCCCATTGAAATAAAACTGAAATCATGGCTATATCATAATATTTAAGTATTTTGGTTTTTACTAGTGCAGTTATTTAAACTACAAACTTCCTAGGTACGAAATTTGTACGTCAACACGAAAAGGAGGGCGTAATTGCATTATTGCTGGGTGCACAGCTTCACAGCTTCCCAGCTTTATCACACCAATTTGATCAAAAGAAAACTGAATTCAGGCAGTTCGTCGAAACAAGTAAGTAAACAGAGTGCCCATTACATAATCAAAAAATTAAATAAGCATATACTGTGAAGATAAAATATAATTTAATCAATATTAATGGTATACTTCTTTTAATCAAGTAGTCCTTAATTTTTTATGAACTTCTATAAAAAATTAAAATATAAAATCTATAATAAAATTATAATACACACTAGACCTTCAAAAAGATATTCTACTCTATTCTTTTTATTTTATTTTTTTAGAATTTTCTCCAACTGCACTTACTAATGTTCCCAAATTACAACACATTTTTCTTATACTCGCTATTTAAGCTCGTGTATTTGTATAACTCGATTGTTTACGGGATTCTCCGAGGGTGGCAGCACCGGTGAAAAATGCACCAAGCTTATACTAAACTATATTCATATTATATTTATGTAATAAAAGACTACTTACCAACTGTTACATAAATTATATTAAAATCATATTTCTTAGCTTTAGTTTCTTCAAAATGAAATTCAATACTGTTAGTTCCCCAGGAAATTTGTAGCTTTCCAGAATCAGGTGAACAGCTTCCAAAAGTAATTGGCAATAAAGGAACGTCAAGCTAAAAAACACAATATTTATTATATAACATCGAAAATACAACTAAATAATACAAATAATGATCGTAAGATATTTTAATTTCTCATTAAATTTTAAATAGAAAAAATATTGAAAATTACCTTTGTAGAATTTGTTGTGTTGGTTCCTGATACCTCAATTTCAAGTGAAACATTCATCAACAGACAATAATTTGAAGAGTTTGAATAAGATATTTTAAATGTATTAACGGGTGGCCCAACGGGAGGTTGGGGGGTTGTGGTCGGAGCAGGAGCCGGAGTTGTAGATGTTGAAGTTGTAGATGTGGAAGTTGTAGAAGCAGGAGTAGTACTTGTGGTTGTAGTTTTAGTAGTTGGAGTTGTAGGTTTGGATGTCGAAATGGTAGTTGTTTTAGGAGTGGTTACAGTTGTTGTAGGTTTGCTTGTTGAATTTGTAACTGGTTTAATTGGCCCTGTTGGTCCTGGTGGAGGCGCATGAGAAACTTGCGCTAAAAGAAAATAAGTTATACTATCAGCACTGATTAATAACACATAAGCAGCTCTTTTCCCTTTCCAATCATTATTTTATCTATTATTACTCTTTTAGTGGATTCCGTGTGGATAATTTAAAGTATTATTTATTTAACAAAGTTTATTTACACTAAAGAACATAACAGGAAACTATTTTACACTTAAAACTAATTAATAAACTTATTTACAAATATTTATATGACAAATTTATTTTGAATTTAACGTGAATATCTCCGCCGATATCTGCTTTGGGTTGTAACAGCAAACGAGGATATCGATTCCCATAAATCTAAACAGGACTTCAATCATCTTCCAGATTGTACGCCAACTCAAAACATCGAGTCCACGCGCCAGCTTCGGAATGGCTAACCGTGTAATGTTGTTGTTAGCGGGGCTTCTCTCATCAGTCAGGGTCTTCCATAGATTGAGATAGATCGGCTTACTCGTTGATCATTCCTTGGTAACCAGGTAGATGTGTGCTTGACCATGCGCATTGTCGGTTAGCCTCAAGACGTTTCCAATCTCTGAATCGTATCGGAGTTGCTCCCCTACACGCCCAAACTTTTCTTTGAACGTCGCGGCTTGGAGTTTCTTTGAACGTCGCGTCTAGACATTCGCAAATCTCGGGCCACACAGTAAACGAGCAAATAAGGTATGCGAGGTACAGAAAAGAGGTCTCGTCTTTGGTTACACCATAGCAAGTTTACTCACTGTTGTTATATCGGCCCATAGGACATCTCAGAATCAGGGGAATCAAAGCTGCAGGTTCTCACGGTCCTAGCACAATCTTCTATTTCGTTTTGGTAGGGACTCAAATAATTGAAATGGGTTATCATCGGTTTCCCTTTCAGCAAATTTCTGATTGGACGTCAATAATCTTATCAATAAATACAAAAACCAAAGCAATAAGACAAACCAGGTCTCTTTGGGATTAATGGACGCCTTTTTTAAATCCTACCAATGACTTCGTATGGCTTTTTCCACGAGGACTGTGGCACAGAATATCTAGCTACGCAACAGAAAAATACTCGCAATGAAAGAGCTAAAATTGCACAAATAAAATACTAGATGGCGCGACAATATCATAATTAGAATATAATTAGAAATTTTCAACTTTCGGTTTTGGATCGACGTAGATTGACGGCACGTCGACGGCCTTAAAGCTCGGCTAAATATGCACAGTTGCCCGATTCAAACAGACTTTAATTGGCATCCCATTCTTTTTCTGGTGTATAATAATTTCTTTCTATTCTTCGTTTCTTGTCAGATACACTTATATTAATTATTCATTTGGCTTTTAAAATAGTTTTAAGTTTTTAAGTATATTATTAGAAAACATATGCTCACAGAATACATCTTTATTATATATGTACACTACTTTATTATGTTAACTAAGAAAATAACTTTAATTACCTTTAAAATTAATATTATACAGGGCGATTGATAGTGATAATTATTAATGCTAAAACGTTAGTCATGAAATATACGTTTAATAATAAGGGAAATAATTTATTAAAATGCAGTATAAAAAATGTTAATTGACTAAAAAAATACTATAATAACAAATTTCTCCTGTTTGCCACGTTTATATAGACCTAGGTAGATTTTAAAAAGTGACACAGGTACAATTAATAATATATTAGTTCGGCCATAACCAACATGACATACAGGCCAGAGACATCGATTTTTGACGTCACCGCACTAGTCCGGCTTTTGTATTGTGCCATATGGTACTGCATATAGTTTTTGCATAAATAATAGTATTTATTGAATAATGAAATATTTGCCAGATATAAATATGAAAAATATTATACAGAAAGGTATTAAAAAATAACATTAACTTTTTATCGCGTTAAAGTAATTGAATAGCATTAAAATTTAGATCTAAAGCACGAATATTAATATGAAATAAACTACAGCATAATATGAACAAAATAAAATCTAGATAATAAAAAGCGCGTCCTAAAATTGCGTTAGCGAGTATTTAGCAACTCGTAATAATATACCTGTGATAAAAAGTTTCCAAATATTAAAAAAATTGAAAACTATACGTTTATCGACAAGTTAAGAAAATGTATTGTATATGATAACGCCAGAATACATTTAAAAGTTTAATTAAAAATAATTGTAAAGATTTGCCTAACATATTTAAAAAATGTAGATATCAGATAGAATTAACTATTAACATTAAGTAATTTGTAGTTCGATGTTTATCAAGTAACCAACTCCATAAATCGTAAATAAAAAGATAAAGATATCATTTTTTTTATATAAAATACTGAAATAAAGTATTCATTAATTTGAAGTTTAACTTATTTAGAAAAATGGTTTTATTTTAACGAAAATAATAGGTTATGTCTTTTAGAAAACTTGAGTTTAAAAAACGAACTTTTGTTTAATAATAATTGTGCCTCTATTACTGAACGTTTGGAATTAAAAAAGAAATTAAAAATAAATACAGACGATTTGCTTTCCGCAGTAACCATTCTAAAAAAAATTATTTAAAAATAAAAGATTCTTCTAACTTTCTTGAGAAAAGTACTGATGAAACATGACAATACATTTTTCAAAAATCAGAAGATTCCTTGCCGGAATTATTTAAACTATTGTCCGGCTACCTCTGCTTTTACGAAAGAATATTTTCTTTGATGAATCAAAAATGGCGAGAGGAAAGAAATAGGGCAAGTTTAAATTTTTGAACTTTTAATATATTTTAATTTAAATTTACCGTGGAATGGTTCCGTTTTTTGCAATGAAAACAGTTACTTCGGAATACAAATTTGGACAAATATCAGGTTTTACAAATAAGATTCCGGTATTACCAAGATTCCTCTAACCCCTTTTTAAAACGTACTATATGTATATTGACCCCGCGCACTATTTTTTTCTGTAATAATAGTAAAAATACCGTATGATCGTATAAAAACGGCGACAGCGATGGCTATGATATGAAGATCGCTGTCATTTTATATGTAAAATTATATGGGAAATGTCATCGATCGTCATTTCATAGCCATCGCTGACGCCGTTTTTATTTGATCATACGGTACTATATTTCATCCAAAAAAAGTTGCCAACCCTAGTTTAAACTGTGCTTTAATATATTGTGTTTTATGGTGTAACTGGCAACACCGATATATATACTGTATGATCCAAAACAAAAGGTGTCCAATTTTATATATAAAATGACAGCGATCTTCATTTAACAGCCATCGATGACGCCGTTTTTTTTCGTAATATAAATATCATAGGTACTAGGTACTGTATAATGCTTTTATCTCACAAAAGAAAAAATATCCTTTATAAAATTTTATTAAAACCAATTAGGCATCCACTTCATATTTCGGTAATTTCTTATCACTTGCAAATTACTTAATAGAAAGATAAAAATACCTATTTATTACTATTTCAGTTTATGTACTTTTTAAGTTTTATCTGGGATTTACCTAACTAGGTTCTGTGATTTAAAACGTCATAACCCCATATTCAAAATTTGCTTTACTTATTACAGCTAACAAATATTTATTCAACCAATATTTATTTCATCTTATAATCTTTTGTTAACGATAGTTTATGATAATGTTATAACCTTTGTTTAAAATGTGAAAAAGAATAATTTGAACAGAACCACATACTTCAAATTAAAAAAAAACAACTGCTGATAGTGCTGATTCATCATATAAATGGTGTTTATTTATGAGCAATAGGTTTTCCAACTTATTGCCCATAAAGCATTTGTTATTAGAAGAAGTATACATGAGTTTGTGATTTAGCAAAAACGCCTCCCATTTCTGGTCCACCACTTTTCATTTCCCAATATTATAAAAAGACCTACCTGCAACAATAACAAAACCGCATACCAAAACACCAACAAGTTTTAGGGACATCTTGAGCTGATCTATTCAATATAAACCAAACAATAAATGCCTAACTTATGCACTTTTTAACGAACTACAAATACTACAAGAAAAATGGTCGGTATTGTTAATGTTAATTATTATGATGTATCAAATCAACCACAATACACATACACAAGGAGAAGTGCGAGCGCCTTGCTAAATATTGGAAAGTGAAATTGACGTTTAAATTTGACACTGTTGACAAGTCTACTGCTACTAGCGCCCCCAATATCGCTTGTAGGAACTACGGACTAGATTGTAACGCATGGCGGGAAGTTTAAAAAAATAAAAAATTTTAATTCTTCATTTATTTTTAATTATGACATACATAAAAACACAAAAATACACCATTTTTAAAAAATATGTTTAATATCATTATCAAATATACAACAGAAATTAATTTCAACAAAATAAATTAATAAAATTAAAAGAATAATGTTACAAGTAGATCAAGAGACAAAATTAATTATAACAAAACTGAAAAAAATGGCGTCATAGATGGCTTAGAAATGAAGCCATCTATGAATTATATAGGAAATGTCATCGATCATCATTTTAAGCCAGCTGGACGATTATTTCAAACATACAAGCTGAGTTCGTTCATAGTGCTCTTAGAAATCTAGATAAACAAAGAATAATAAATTAAAAGTATTCCAGGGGAAAAGAGAGGAAGAACCTGTATCGTCTCTGATATCTGTCAGGGTATTGTTGAAAGTGTCATCTTTTTGCTCGAAGTTTTCAGGTCGATTAAAAAGATGACATTTACAACAATACTTTGCCGTAACTTTCACAAATATCAGAGAGAGAGTACAGGTATTGCCTCTCTTTTCCTCTGGGATGCTTTATATCTGTTGTTCTTTGTTTATCTATATTTCTCAGAGCATAATGCCGAACACGACTACAGTATATAATAATTTCAATATCCTAAGTGGAAAGAAAAAAGATCACCCTTCTGTTTTGTACTATGGTCCCTTTCTTCCGATGGCTCATCTCGTTGATATTTAGGAAGGTATCCATAAAATATATATTTTATTATCGGTCCTGGGATGAAAAAATATAAAATTCAATTTGATTTGATGATCCTTTTCTGTCACCTAAATCAGGAGAATGACAATGAGCATGTTAAGATGAAAAAAAACTTATTTATCAACACTTACCTACACGTTAGTCCAAGGAGTTTTATCAAAAACCTATATTTGCCTAAATAATTTATGTATTCAATTTACAAAGCAAACTGCAGCGTGTAAACAAAAGAAATAAAATGGCGACAAGTCAACGTCAACGACCCGACAAGGAGAAAAGTGGTGTTCGAATAACAAATTATGGGTTACAAAAAATTGTTTTTGTCTCCTTTCAACGCACACTTTGGAAAGAAAAAGAGATGAACAGTTATACTGAAAGAATGTCAAGGTTTTATCTGTCACTCTTGTCAATAATTTATCGGTAAGGAAGATTCCTAGAAAATCGCTTGTAGTCAAGTTTCCCACCATTTCCAGTTCTCCCATAAGAAGTGTCATCCACCTGAAATCAACTTTAGCTCGAGCTGGATTTCTCGATCGACGGTCAGCTATCAGCTTTCAGATTTCGAACATTGCGCAGATGCGTCAAATAAAACAAGTGTATTGTGAGTTACATAAATATTTGTACACACTTATTAGTTTAGTTCTCCCATAGTTCTCTCATAAATTTTTATTAAATTTTATAGTTTTATAACCTTTGTTGATAACAAAACTACATTTATTAGAAGTGCACTTTACTAAATAATGTTAAGTTCTATGGATTTTAGGATATGAATAATAAAGGATAAAAGAAACAACATTTTAGAACCGCTATTTTAATTATTTTATTTAAAGTACCTAAGTAAGTATTTAATAAAAAAATTACGACACGTTAAAGCGCAAAACAAGTTTTATTTTTAAGATGCACTGTTTAGCTATTGTTTTTAATAATTATAAGTTAGAAGTTGAGTTGACTCATATTTAATTCCATTTTCTTATATAATTTATAAAAGTTAATCAGAGCATTTTTAATTACATACCTATAAAAACTGAAAGGAAATGAACTTGTAGAATTTCACTGGAAATACCTACATGGAACAAAATTATATACATTCTGCAAAAGATTGCTACTCTTTTCTAATATTTTCTTCATATTATTAAGACAAATATTATAAAGAATACAGACATAATCAAACAATAATTGCTATATTCATTAAATACTGTCATTTTTAAAAACATTGAAATCAAATCAATAAATACTGTTTCTCAGTGTTATTGTTTTCTTAAAGTTATAAAATATAAAGTAGGTGTAATATAGGATGATATTACTGACAAAATGATGCATTTGATATTTTTTTTGAATAAGAATTTCAACTTAAAATACAATACAGTAGCCACAAAAAAATACGCACTCTGTATATCATTTTATTATTGTCCTCCGTGGATGGAGTTTTAAAAAATACATAAAAATATCAAATCAAATGCATCATGTTATATATTGTAGTATTTTAATTTGTCTTTTAATTTATATCTACTACAAAGGTTTTGTAATTTAATTATGAATTTCTTATTATAAAATTATGTGAATCCCTATTTTTCCTTACATTAATTAAAAAATAAAGAAGGAATAATAATAATATATTTATGGGGTTTTTGCTTCAATTTAGGCTTAATTAAAAAACATAATTTTATTATATTGATTTTTTTTAAACAAAATCGATTTTAATTTCTTTCAATGTTGAAATAAGTTTAGTTATTTTAATACATAGAAATAACATTATTTACTTATTTATACGTTTATCTTTTATATTAAATACATTTCCAGTATTACCAAGAAAACGCCTAAGATAAGATAGTTATGTAAACAAGAAATGCAAACCGCAATTTTTTTATACTTTATACAAGGTGTTTCTGAATAAGTGTCCGATATTTTACAGGGTGATTTTTCAAGTCTTTCTAAGGTAAAAAGTTAACCACATTGACCATTAAAACGCCTATTAAAAAGCACCCTGTATAAAAATATAATTATTAAAAAAAAGATATACAGGGTGGTGCACCTCATTCGCCTCGGTTGATTATACGAAAACGGAAAGATGTAGAAACATAATTTTTTATGGGTATATGTAGAGAGGCAATGTGCATAATTTAAAATTATTTTCAAATGTACAGGGTGTGTCAGAACTAAGATCCACACCAAAGTTATATTTATTCTTATGGAACACCCGGTATTTTATTTCATTTTTGGATTCTTGGACATAAAATAAGCCATTTAATATAAGGGTTTAATATGTTTAAAAGCTTTGGTTTTTGAGATATTTAAATATGCATGCTATAATAAAAAAGTTTGTCAACACCCTGTACATTACTTTTCGAGTGAATTCTAGTGTTGACTTTAAAGCCAGGGAAATAAACTTTACTAAAAAAATGTATTGCTTCCTTAAATGTATACAGGGGTATCAACAATTGCTGGTCTATTTTAAATATTTATTTTACATAAAAACTTCGTTATTTCAAATACAACACCCTGTATTTTTTTAAATAAATCAAAGCAGATTTAAATGCTCTTTTAAACTATATTAGGGTTTCCTATACCTATCTAGCTAAGAATTTGAATAATATCCCTTATAATAAATGCCTTATTTTATGCCCAAGAATCCAAAAATGAAATAAAATACCGGGTGTTCCATAAGAAAAAACATAACTTTGGTATGGATCTTAGTTGTGACACACCCTGTACATTTCAAAATAATTTTAAATTATGCACATTTCCTTCCCACATGTACCCATAAAATATTTTGTTTCTACATCTTCCCGTTTTCGTATAATCAACCGAGGCGAATGAGGTGCGCCACCCTGTATATCTATTTTCTTCATATTCTTATACCTAACTAAAGCTTTGTAATTTATTATTCTTTTTAAATAGTTTCTTTTTTAAAATTGTATTTTAGGCAAAATTAATATATCAATTTTGAAAAAAATGTACCTAAACGTGAAGAAAAAAATACTTTTTTGTGCGCTTGGTATTGTTTTAGAATGTCAGTTTCTGTTTTCCTTGTTGATATGCAAAATGTACCCCAAAAAAAGAAAATGATCAGATTTCAATAGCCTTTTTGTTGTTAATTTATTAACCTCTATAATAATCTATAATCTATGAAGTACTATTAACACTTACATCTATCGATAACAATAAAATTTATTTTTCTTCTCTTCTATTATGCATAGTTCTTCTCAAAAGAACATTAAGTACGATTCAATATCATTTAGCGACAATTTAACAGTGCATTAACATGAAAGTTAAGGTTTTAAGTTTACATTTTATAGTAAATTGGTTTAACTTAAAAATGTAATAATAAATACATAGGGTACACGTGAAAGAGCAATCGACATCTGTGGCAAACTTAAAAGCAGAAGAAGCAAAATAACTATTCTTAATACATACATAAATTCAAAAAATACATAATATACATTTTTTTGAATATAAGTCATATTTTGCAGTTATTTTTTTGCACATATAATTTTTCATATTGTGTGTTTCATTGACTATTCTTTTCCTCAAAGTATTTTGTTGATACTTTGTGATTTGAGTATATTAGAGATGAAAAATAAAGAACCACTGAATGAAAATAAAGACCTGAAATTTGACTTATATTAAAAACTATATTATAGTTATTAAAGCTTTTTTGAGTACTCTTTCACAAAGGAGATCTTTTATTATTTCATAGTTATCTTTGAGCTAACTCAATTATAACATTATATACATTGAAACAAAGTGGCGTTTGACACCTATCCTTTTACAAACACAGACATATGTATGAATATGTCTTCGACAAATTATAGGAATAATTTGAGATTTTCTGGTGCATTACAATCACTATTCTCAAAAACCCCCTATACACAGAAAGGTCCGGCCTTCGGACTTGGCCTCACGTACCAAAACTCTCGTATATTGGTCAGCAGACTTGGCCTGCCTATTAGACCATTGCTCCATTAAATATTCTCGTTTGGAACAAAATTCCACATTTTATAACAATTTTTATATAGATAAATGTTTATCGGAATAAAAACTACCACTTAGAAAGAAAGAGCGTTACACGTCCGCCGATGTTATCCTTCGCTCGTTTTTTAGACAAATCTAATCCCACAGGCCTTGTCCACGGACTTGGCTTGTAGGATGTGACAGGCTTAGCCCGCCAAAGGCCACAAACGCAAAAATTTCATACGAAGGCTGGGCTCGCGGGCCGAATGCGCAGGCCGGATCTTTCGGCGTATGGGGGGCTAAAAGATGTCTCTGCATATTTTACTGTGGTAAAAGTGTATATTTTTGTTATTTTACAAAGGGCTCCAATCCTAAGGTGTAGCTGCAGTGCTTTCATTTTATTTTGTCCCACTTTTAATTGACCATAACTTTTTTGTTTTTGGAGATAGAACATCCATTAAAATAATAAATTGAAGGGTTTTAGTCAAGTTTTATGGTATATTACAAAAAATGTCATACGCTGTCAAATGTCACAGTTGATAAAAAACTATTTTTAATGGAATATCCTATATATATTATTATTAGTGTATTGGATAACATGTTTTTTTTCTAATTTCAAAAATATATTTTCAGTCATATACCTATATCTTTTTTTTAGAGTTTTATCAAAATTCGAATCAATATACACCAATGCTAATATGTTTATTGGTTTTAAGCTAGGTATAGTTGGTCATACTGTTTGTTTTATATACCATATCATTTTTACACATTTATATTAATTTTTAATAAAACTATGAAGAAAAAGAGGCATGTGTGATATATTTTTGAAATCACAAAGAAATGTGCTATCTAATATAACAATTTAATGTCCCATTAAAAAAATATAGTTTATACCGGAATTTGTATAACATGATAAATAATAAAACTTGATTGAAACCCTATAATTTGCTTTTTAACGAAATTTATTATACCCAAAAATAAACAGGATATAGTTTAGAATTGTGGGACAAAATAAAATGAAAGCACTAGTATATTTATAGATTTAAGTTATTTTTAGTTTAATAATAACAATAGGGTATTTTAAACGGTAGTTTTAATTTAAATCAGTAATAAAGTTGAACTACTATTAGAATTATATTAAGTTTATATTAACAAATTATTGAGGACTGATATTTGAGCTTTATTTTTTATTAACTTTCTTTTTCTTTTTTTTATAAAACTTATTTAACCTAAAAATAAGAAAATCGAAAATGGTAAAAAATAGATGAATCAGATGGAAAATAAAGTTTATTAAATAACATTCTTTAGAAATATTTCAATTTTGCTATGACGATATCATTTTCATCCATATACAGTATATGTCCCAAGATTGTGTTTACAAGAGGAACATCTTCTTTATTATTGACATTTTGAGAAAAATGCATTCTTCCTAAACATTTTTGCTTGTTCTAAAATGTATAATCCCTTTTTTTGAGTGAAAATTAAAAAACTCATGAAAATATAGTTGAAAGTTGAAATCCTAAAACTCAAACCGCGTTTCTATGGTAATATAACTTCGTTTTCATTCTTTGATAGATTGTTATTCATAGAATTTTAATTAACGTAATATTTTTTGTTGTTTTAAAATGTTAAAGAAGCACAAAATTTATTTAGTTCAATGATACGGAACGGGTGATGATAGTTATCGGAAAATGTGATACCACGGCATAGATGATACTTTAATAACTGCAAATAATATGACGTTAATCAAAATGAATAATAACGATCTATCAAAAAATGAAATCGAATTGATATTACCATAGAAATGCCTTTTGATTTTTATGACTTATAGGAACAATTTTAGGATTAAATTTAATTAGAATTTCTAGAAAAAATTCAAGCATATTTTCAAGAGTTTCTTAATTTTCTCTAAAACGGTATGGAAATTTGGAAAAGTATAAACGAGATTAACCATTTTAGAAGCAGCAAAATTTTTTTTATGAAGAATGAATTTTTATGAAAATGTCAATAATAAAAAAGTGATCTCTTCTAAAGACAATCCGGGGACATACTGTATATAATTTCGATCCATTTTTTCTTCTTATTTACTTTATTGTCACTCTTTGTAGGTATATCTTAAATTTCTTTGAAAATGCAATTCACATTTTACAAACATAAATATTATAGGTATTTATTTGCCTTTTTATTTAACAGATCACAAAGTATATAAAATTTATAGTTCACCAAAAGTTTATCAAGTATTATAACGTGCTTGTTAACTTTTGAAGTCGTTTCCATTTTCGCTGCAAAGGCTAATCTGAGGAAACCCGAACCGCGGTTCTCGGCCATATCATTGTCAAAGGCCTACCGAATTCGCGAGTGTCCATATCGACTCTTGCTCACGAGATATCCGATCTCATCCGGCCAGGAACCTGCGTCAATGAGCAGTGTGTGTCAATAGATTTTACACTCTAGCCATGGAACAACCACACGATAGAGTTTTCAGACAGTCACCCGTCCATCTACTCGCATCGTCTAACGTCGCTTAACTCCGATGACCTATCGGAAACCAGTGTTTCTACGTAGTTGGGTCGTTGTCCTTTAGAGATATATAAATAAATAGAATATCTATTAATTAATTAGCGATTCCTCAAAATTGTAATATTTCTATTCCGAATTATTTTAAATAAATAAATAATATATAATGCATTTTCTCAATAGAATCGTACAGCAAATCTCAAATTATTGTATAACATATACAAGTGATCAAAATGCGTGCAGCGTCATATTTCAGCCGTATTTTTACAAGAAAAAATCATGTACCTTGGTATAAAAAATTATAATATCGATGCAAAATCAGCGAAATATTTTTTTTTAAATGAGCGAAATTATTATTACAGTGTGTAATTTTTGCTTGTAAAAACAAAGGCCCGATTACTATATATGTACTATGTATGACTGAAAGCTGGCAGTTCTTAGAGCTCCTGCGTTCCTAATTATTGTTTGAGATATATTTAGTCGATCATGAGCTCAAAGTGGACGGAACCCCTTCTATCGACCCTGTCGTGAATGATGTTCCTGGCCCAAGCCTTGCATTCGATGTTGATGAGAACGCCACCTGAAAACAAAAACAATTTTGTATACGAGTGTCTCAAATCAGCCCCTTAGCTGCTAAATGGTGAAGTCTATAATTTTGAGAGTTATAATATTGTTCGTCAAGGGGCTCTCTAATCAATTTCCACGTGGTGTAAGTCCTAATTCAAATTCAAGCCACTGAGAGCAACACATGGTTTGTCACCTAAGAGAAGTGACTGCGCAGCTTGGTCAACAAGTGGTCTAAGTCCGTATAACCACGCAGTAAACAAACATAACTCAAAAGCCAGTGAACAAACACGGTTAGTGTGTTTTATCTGTTTTCTCACACACTATTATTATTCACATTAATTATGAACAAGAAATGAAAAGCGTTGTTTTCTCAAAATATTGAGGGAGGGACTCTTATATAGAATAAAAAGTTTATTCTTTTACTAGCTAATAATTATTAAGGATCTATTAGGCTGTACTTTTAGGTTGCTCTCGGGGGTCGGGTAAAGCGGGTATGTGGCCGAAGGAAATATATATTATATTTCAGAAATCTGCTTAAAGCTTAGCACTACAAGGGCACTACCCTGTCGTGTTAAGCCACACCAAAAATTCCAAATGCACGTGCTTTGATTAATATATAAATAGCGAGCAATTTGTTACAAAACCATATAAATTATATATCACTCTAATCAGAAAACTTCAATCTATTTCCGTATTCTAACGGACTTTTATATTATGTCTTTATTTTAGAAGATTATACATCTGCCCTCTGTTCAACTAACCCACAGAGAATATTGTGTCAGAATTTAAATTAATAGTGAAATCATTGGGAATTTCAGAAAAAAGACTGTAAAATAGTTTGTTGTGCAGTTCACTGATAAGTAAATAAACAATATATAATATACGTTATAGTCTGTGTAACGAATCAGGGAAGAATTCGACAGACGACATCCAAAATATGACAGAAAATACAATTTACTTGTGAACTAAAATGACAGATACAACTGTCACAGTCAGGGATCCTATCGTTGGACAGATTATACGTGTGGAAGACCAGTCAATAATGATATTCGGTAGAATTAACTATAATTACATATGTTTTCTTGCATTTTCGGTTTTATTAACTAAATCTACCATATTTTTTTTTCAATAACTCATGATATATATAAAAAATATTTTTGTTAAATTTTTGGTACATCCAAAATAATAATTAAATTCCATCAGTACGAATTCAATATCCAACAATCGCAATGGAGGCCCAACTTTTTTTTATTAAAAACACATCACAAAAACTAATGTAGTATCACAGATTATACATATTATAAACTTTGTTTTTTCTTTATTGTTTTTCGTGGTTCCAATTTTCGGAATCGGGCACTAGTTAGGTTACTAGTTTGCGCACATAGCACGCCCACTTATGGCCTCTAAAATTGTGCACAGCGCCTGACCGGCACAGTTATTAGAGAGATATCGGAAAACCGAATAGCGTCATGCAGTAATTACACGTACCTTATCATGGTTACGATATGCGCGAGTCAATTTTTAACGGAACACCCGCTAATAACGTTACCGCCTGACGTAATTTGCGGATCAATTACACCAAGCGCTATTTCTAAATATCGTTTAAAAATAGCTTAAATGGGCATGTGCGGGTATTTGACAACCGGGGCCAAGGTTGTTAAAAGGTAAGGTTGTCTCGTAACTTTTGGACCAATAGGAGCGAAGCGGAATAGCATCCCTCTGACGTAGATAGAACGTATAAAATCATAGATAAAAGGAATAGAAAATAAATGCAACCGACAAAGAGAGATAAATGGACAATACAATAAAGAAATCACACATCAAACAACTGAAAACTATTGACGCCATACACTATAAACAATAAAGTACACAACGAATATCGATTCGGAAATGCACTGTCGGACTGTGGGCAGTTTTTATCCCCTTATCTATGAGCGGTATATCATTCCTATGACGTAGTAGATGACGTTCTCGATGGCGGATCGAGTTACGAGACAACCTTACAGTACATCTGCTGGATCTGTGTCTATGAAAGGAATGCGGACAAAAAACATTTAAATAAACAGCAATATATTTTATACGTCGACTTGACGAGTACGTCACCGTAAATCGCTCCGCCCACTCATTTTATTGGCTACTTGCAAACTTGTCGAATTTTTATTGATGGGACGCGTCGTCTAATTTTTCACGAAAAACATCGAGAGAATATCGTTTCCCCTCTCACGGATACCCCGTAGCTACAGAACAGACAGACGTACTGTATCTTTTAATAACCTTGAACCGGGGCCGGCCAGCGAGATCTTTTATTTTAGGTTATGTTTGAATTGTTTTGAATTATTACTTTAGTTTTATTAGGTAATTGGATATTTAAGTAGCTGGGATTTGTTTTCATTAAATAAATATGGCCCAAAATCTGGATTCCACCTCTTCCAATATTAAAGAACATATAAAGAGGCTTAGGTTTACAGCAGATGACGACTTAGCCCTTCTAAGAGAATTTGTTGCTTGTTGCCCTAAACCCACTGGCAGACGTTGAACAATAAAGCACTGGAAATAAGCACTTTAGCCCTTTAGTTTTAAAATACCTAGTAAACAAAACAATTTCAAAGTTTTAAATTCAAAGTTAGGTTAAGTTATTTAAACTTAACCTAACTTTGCGCTAACTAACGCTATTTAAGCGGACGCGACGCGAACAGAATTCTTTCCGATCCGATAACTATAAATGAAGAGAGTTAATACCACCTCACGTAAAGGAAATAACAACTGGCCTTATTAACGTACATGCACGCTATTCGGTTTAGCGATATCTCTCTATTACGTTGTTTATTGTTATTTTACGCGAGTTTATTTTTGCGCACAGGAAATTTTACTCGTTTGCACATCGTCAGAAAAAACAATTTTTGGTACCACTAATTAGGGACAAGATTTTTATCTGTATACTTATAAGATACCTAATCTGTGGTAGTATGTTCAATCAAATATGTGATTTTTTTTAATTTTAGAGTATACTTACGTTTCGGTTTTTCAAAATAAACGGCGACAAGTGGACTGATGTAACCGTCTTGGTTCGTGTACGGGAAGTACTGAGACGGGAAACCTTTTTGAGGGATGAATCGGATAGGACCAATGTGTTCGATGTCTGCTACATTTTCGCCTTCGCAAGTTACCCAGACAATGCGATGCTAAAATATTTTTTTCGATTAGTTTATTGTTAAGTTGTTAATATACTGTTTTTTATTTTGACTGCGAATATATGTACGTAAGAAGTACAATATGATCGAAGAAGTTCGTAAGAAGTACGCGTTAAACCTAAATACTACAAAAAAGTTTATATTTATACACTCAGATGCAAAAAAAACGCAACGGAGAAATTTTTGGTCAATTTTAAAGTGTTATATTTTTGTTATTTTTAGCCCTAGTTTCATTATTTTTTTAGCAAGCTGTACATAATTATATTAACTTTAATTCATAAACTAAGTTTTTTATAAACTTTAAGATTTGGCATATTATACGGGGTTAATCGAAGGGTTGTTTTTTTACCCTAACTTTAAAACACCCTGTGCAATAATTTCGTGCGTGAATTTTCGTAAAATATTTTACGGTCAGAACCATATGACTCCTGAGCATTTTGTTTTTTGATTCATGGCAATACAAGCTTTGATTAATTTTTAAGAGCGGAATGAACTGATTACGAGCAATTTGCAATTTTTTCAGTTATCATTATTTTTTGATGTAATTTTTTAATATGACGAGATGGTTTTGGTGATTATTATTTCATACTGTATACTAAATTAAAAATAAACGTTAAATACTGAAAATACAGTCCTGGTTTTAATAAATATTAACAACGATAACAGAACTAACGATATTAAAGAAAACATCTGTAATAATCATACAAACAGAAAAAGTAATTGTAAAAAATAACCTAATACCGTGCATTTGTATTGCCTCCCTTGGCTGTTAGAACTGCCTGTATTCGTCCGTTCATATTGTCATTGAGGCTGCATGATATCATGTTGCGATATGTTTTGTCATTCTTCTTTAAGAACCAAGCGAAGTTCATTTAATGATGCTGGTAACGCTTCGCCATCTCTAAACTTCCTGCCAAGCATTTCCCAAACATCGAAAATGATGAACAGTTCATAGTGGTTTATAGTTCACAATAATCTCCAAAGCCGCCTTGTCATATTGAAAAGCAACTTCAAAAAGAAATGATAATTGAAAAAATTGATTATGGCGAGATCACTTCGTCCTTAAAAATTAACCAATGCATGTATTGATTCAAAAAACAAAATGCTCAGAAGACATGGTTCTGACCGTAAAATTATATTTTAGGAAAATTTACTCACAAAATTATTGCACAGGGTGTTTTAAAGTTAGGGCAAAAAAAAACAACCCCTCGATTAACCCTGTATAATATGCCAAATACATACTAAAGTTTATAAAAAACCGAGTTTACGAATTAAAGTTGATGTAATTATATACAGCTTGCTAAAAAATTCCTGAAATAGGGCTAAAAATAACAAAAGTATAACACTTTAAATTTGACCAAAAATATCTCCGTTGCGTTTTTTTTGCATCTGAGTGTATTAGAAATATTATTCACAAAAAATGGTATCACACAAAAATAATAATTCTAGTAATGATCGGAGATTCATAACGTCGAATATTGTGAATATTAACCCAAAAATTCAATAATATTAATTTCTGAGTTTACATAAAAAACATTTTTACTAGATAAAAATGTTTTATAAATAATAGCTATTTTTAAAAAAAAATCATAGTTTGTTAGTCGTTTTTTCCTCGACAACAACTAAATAATGTAGGCGGATGACAGAAAATTATGATTAATATCAAATCAACTATTATACGCTCTCATTATAACTTAAGCAAAGTAATTAGAAAAAAATATTGAGAGCCAATTATTAGATATACGGTCGTAGCTAAAATTAAAAAACGATGTGCACGTAAATATCAATTGATTTAACTGTATACCTACTTAATTTTAATAAAAATATTTATTTAATATATTGTGTTAAATAGATATAAAAATACCTTGTTTTGTGCCTCAGCGTCTCTTATTTCCCTTTTCAGTTCTTCGCTCATTTTTAGGCCCGGATCCTCTATAGTGGTCGAATTAAAATATTCAGGATTCCAATTGAAGATCTGGAAAAAAAATGAATTAATTCAAGTAGGAGTAACTTTTTTGTAATGCAGTTATACGTTACCCTGTTCAGTTTTAGGAAGATACATGGACCTCCTTCACTGGATTCGAAATTGTAGCCCGCATCTTTCAAGCAGGGATGCCACATTTGGTCGATTTTCACGTCACACACTTTTCCGGGGGATGGTAGTTGAAACTGTCGACATTCCTCCAACTTGTCCGCGTGAGGATTATTGCTTTTATTGTATACTGCAAAAAAAGGTTTTCATAGAAAAAAAAGTTTCTATTTTTTTTTTAAATTTTGAAGACTTACCGCCTAAAAATTTATTAATTTCTTTTTGCCAGTACTGAACATTTCCTTTGTCGGAATGTTTGTACCAAATTAACGTACTTTCTATGTTTTTGTCTGAGGGCATTGGTCTGAATCCAAGTCCTACAATGTATCAGGCATTAGATTTGATACCAAAATTTAAGTATTTTAATATTATAGTAATTTTTCAACTAGACTTGAACTATCTCTACTCTTACAAGAACGGGCAGAAAATAGTGGGTCGCCAACAAATCTCCAGAATAGTCTCCAGAAACAGTTCATAGTAGAACTGACCAAGTAGAAATTCGCCAAAAGTTACAGCAGACCGGATAAAAAAAGACAGAAAGACAGTCAAAGCGGTAGTGGGTCTTTTTTTTAGTGAGCCTTTTAATAAGTAGTTAGTAAACAGGGCATTGTAAGCTTAATAGGCATCTAAATCTGGCAGGATTAACGGACGAAACCATGTGCAGATTTTGTCAATCTTAAGAAGAAACGACAGAACACATTTTATGTCAGTGCGACAGCCTGGCAAATGTGCAACTTTTTGTACTTGATATTGATAGGCCATTGGCAAAGGGCGGTTCATTCTTCAAGTTGTTACTAAATGAAAGACTTTTTTGAAAAGAGAGAGGACAACAATACAGTATGCCTTGGATTTTCTACAGGAGGAAAAACTTTTTTATTATTGACATTTTCAGAAAAATGCATTCTTCATAAAAAATTTTGCTTGTTGTAAAATGGTTAATCCTATTTATATTTTCTCAAAATTTCCATACCCATTTAAAAAAAATTTTGAAATAACATGAAAATGGAGTCGAAATTTAAAAATCAAAAGGCGTTTCTATGGTAATATCATTTAGATTTCATTCTTTGATAGATGGTATTGGATGGTATTAATTTCCATTAACGGCGTTTTTTTACTGTTCGGATTCAGTTTGTAAAAAAAACACATTTTCCGATAACTGTTATCACTCTTTTCGTATTAATTAAAATTCTGTTCAACTATGTTTTTTTTAATTTTCTCTAATACGCTACGGAAATTTGGAAAAGTATAAACATTTTAAAACAAGCAAAAATTTTTATGAAGAATGCATTTTTCTCAAAATGTAAACAATAAAAAAGTTTTTCCTCTTGTAAAGACAATCCGGGGGTAAACTGTAGATCTGAAAAGGTCAGAGTGGTTACAAGCAGATAGCCACCTCAAAAATCTAATTTAATCTGACCTCTCTCTCATGTTAATATTTTTAATTTTTAGCTATCTCATGAACACTCAAGAGATATCAGTCTACACAGATGCTTCCGCAACTTCATGAGGCACAGGTATAGGCATCTTCACAGAGAAACTAGACATCCGACGATCTTTAAGGTTATTGGATGGCTGTAATGTTCTACAAGTAGAGGTTTACGCCATAAAGGAAGCGGCTAGTTGTATAAGAGAGAAAATTGCTGATAGACCAATAGGGGATATAGTGATATACTCTGACAGCTTGGGCGCCAAGAAGAATCACCATGCAATCAGTGAGATCGAAAACAGTGATGGAATGCCGAGAAGCACTGTCCTGGCTGCGTCAGGACGGGGCTACTCTGTGCTGGGTGCCAGGCCACAGCAATGTGGTGGGCAATCAGGAAGCAGACAGACTCGCCAAAGACGGGGCCAGGGGATAGGCCGTGGCAGATGACCCACCACTTGTGACGATCAACACACTGAAGGAAGCTATAGGAACTGTCATCAAGGCCAAGCAGCAAGAGACGTGGCAACACCGTGAGGACTGCGCTACAGCTCGAAGACTATGACCAGTAGGTAGCAAAATGACAAAACAACTACTAGAGCACAAAAAGGACCTAGTACGCATAATTGTAGGTGTCGTCACTGGAAACTGTCCCACGGGGGTAAACCTCGTGAGATGGAAGGTTTCCAACGACGACTACTGCAGAGAATGCGGAGAGGAAGAAGAAACAATAGAGCACCTGTTCGGCACTGGAATACCGACGCTTTAATACTTTAGGGCAAGGTTTTTTCGAGGACTAGAGGAAGCAATAGCAGACAACATCGGCGACATCGGGAACTTCGCAAAGAGCTGGAAGTGCTTTAACGCAAAGAAAGAATGAGAGGAAGGTTTGGTACAACAATACAGGGGTATCGCAATGGGCCCAAGGCCTCCGAGTGAGGGATCAAACATGATCCCAAACCCCAGCAACGTACCCTAACCTAACCTAATATTTTTAGTTGTTTAAGAAGTGTGTTTAAATTTCTTCTATTTGACCTACTATTATACAATTGTTTTACTTACCTGGATTGCTACCAATTAAAGATCTATCCAGCTCCCACTTTGGTCTTTTGATATCTAACGTTTGGAAAAATACTGCTAACATTACTGCGAAAAATCCAACTAGCACGGCATAGAATATGATGTAGAAAATCAAAATCTTTGCTGAAATAAAAAGAAATATTTACCTTAAAAACGTATTTAACTTATTGTTTGGTTTTTAATATTCTGCATAAACTTCTAAACATATTCTGTGTACTATAATTAAGTTCATCAGTCTTAGAAATAGTTTCAAATTTATGTAAAAAATCACATTTGCCCAGCGAATTAAAAAGTTCACAGTGTTCCAGTTCCCAAAAAAATTTATACGTAAGCAAATGTCTTATAATGTTGAAAAATGTCATTGACGTGTTTCTGGGATCGACATGTCGAGATATCTTCTTCTTGCGGTGCCGTGCCTGTCTTCAGGCGTTGGCGATCCTCATGACTTTTTCGTGGAAGAGTCGTCTATCTTCTGCTGCATGAAACAGCCTCTCCACCCCCAGACCGGTCCAGTTCCGTATATTTCTGAGCCATGACAGTTTCTTTCGACCTACCCATCTTCTACCTTCGACTTTTCCTTGAATAATCAAACGAGGAATATAATATTTGGTGCCACGCATTATGTGTCCGAAGTAGCTCACCTTACTGGCCTTGATGGTGGTTAACAGTTCCCGATCTTTGTTCAGCTGTCCAAGAACTTCCTCGTTGCTTATATGTTCGGTTCAAGAAATTTTAAGAATTCTCCGGTAGCACCACATTTCAAAGGCTTCTATTTTATTTATATTCTCGACTTTTAGCGTCCATGTCTCGCATCCGTAAAGAAGAGTGGACCATATGTAACAACGTAGTGTTCGCAATCGGGTTTGCAGTGACAGGTTTCTATTAGTGAGTGTGGTATTCCATTTTTTGAATGTTCTACGTGCCATTTCAGTTCTTGCCTTTACTTCTTCCTCACATGTATTTTCACTATTTAGCCAGCTTCCTAAATATCTAAAATGCTGTACTTGTTCAATATTGTGTCCGCTGATTTTCATCGGGATCGAATCAATTTGTATTCTACCCACAAACATCCATTTCGTCTTCTTGATATTTATATTAATACCCCATTTGCAATGCTTCATGAACCCTATCTAACAACGTTTGCAAGTCTTCCATGCTTTCTGCGACAATGGCGGTGTGTGTCTGCGTACCTTACGTTATTTATGATCTCGCCTCCAATTTTAACGCTTTCTATTCTGCCGGATAAAGCCTCGTTAAAAATGTTCTCCGAATATAAATTGAATAATAACGGTAACAAAACACACCCCTGTCTTACTCCTCGTTTTATTGGGATGTCATTTGTAGTTCCTTCATCGACCCTAACAGCAGCAGTTTGATCGTAGTATAAGTTTACTAAAAGGCGCATGTCATAGTTGTCTACGTTATACAATTTCAGATGCCGAAAGAGCTCTGTATGTCTGACTCTAAGGTCTGACTCGATCAAATGCTTTTTCAAAGTCGATGAAGCACATATAGATGTTCTTGCGTAATTCGCTGCATTTTTGCAACAATAGCCTCATGCAAAACAGGGCTTCACGTGTGCCTAGTCCGCTACGAAATCCAAACTGCTCTTTTCCGATGCTCTGTTCACATTTAGCATATATTCGGTTGAGGATTATTTTTAAAAGTATTTTTAACATGTGGCTCATCAGACTAATAAGCCTAAAGTCGTCACATTTACTCGCTTTGATATTCTTGGGTAGAGCAATAAATATCGATCTCTGCCAGTCGCCAGGTAATTTCCCACTTTGAAAAAAAACTTTGTCGAGATATACTACCCCTAAAAACATTTACATTTATTTAAAACTCATCCTTTATACACAACAGATGCAAAAAAACGCATCGGAGAATTTTTTCGTCAAGTTTAAAGTGCTATATTTTTTTTTTGCTTTTAGCCCCATATTCATGATTTTTTTAGCGAACTCTATATAAATCTATCAAATTTAATTCATCAACTCAGGTTTTTATAAAGTTTGGTATTTGGCTTATTACACAGGGTTAATGACAGGTTATTTTTACCTTAACTTTAAAACACACACCCTGTGCAATAATTTCGTGAGTAACTTTTCTTAAAACATACTTTTCGACCAGAACCATGTGTCCTTGATTAATTTTTAAGAGCGAAATGAACTTTTCCAACCACCAACAAACAATTTGCAATTTTTAGGTATCATATTACTTTATGATTTATTTTTTTTAATATCACTAGGTGGTTTTGCTCACTATTGTAGTAATATCATATCGACACTGATTGGAACTCTATATTAAAATTTAAAAAAATGTTAAAAAATACCGATATACAGGCTTATTGGTTTTAGTAGATATTAGTAACACTAACAGAACTAAGGATATTAAAATAATAACTGTAATAGCTAACCCAAAAAAAAACAAAAACCGCCCATACTAAAATATGTTAATATCTCAAAAACTGCGACTAAAATATGTTAATAAAAAGTTGGTAGGCAGTTCTTTTAGTTTCGAAGTAATAAAATTTTTCCATTTTTTTTATCTCAAAAACTGCGACTTTGACTGATTTTGATGTTATTACAAATTTTATTGCAAATATTATTCCTAATCTTAATTTGAAAACCGCGTTTCGCTAGCTACTGTAATTTTGGAGTTACGATTTTTTAAAATGTTTAACCCCCTCTCATGCCCCCTTACCAACCTCCCACCCCCACCAAAATCTAATGGCCAGATTCTCGGGTGCCACAGTATTTTTGTGCAAAATCTGGTTAAAATCGGTTTAGCGGCTTTTCAGTGTTTTTTATGTCTTATTTCTATATAGATTATTTTCGAAATCGAACCAAAATCAATTGCAAAGAAATTTTGCAAAATCTGAAAAAATAAAATCTCTCCAAAATAATAAATAGTGAAATGATTATTTACCCTCTATAGATAGAACCCCTACCTATGGTCACATATAAACTGTATTACCCTTGTATTATTAAAATAAATGTTTGTAGTTTTGAAATATGAAGTTTTCAAATGAATATTTGAAATTTTCAATTGTCGCTTTACTTAATATACTACCTTGATATTTTTTTTTTATTTTTCATCTTTTTTTTTTGGTTTATTAAGAGCACTAATACTCTATTTATAGTTATTTTTTATTCCTTGAAGGATAATTGAAGAAGAAATATTTCGTTTATATTATTGATGTGTCACTAAATAAACCCTTGTATAAAATTTTATACTGCTAGATGTTATAGTAATGCATTTTCGTACAGTAAACTTTCATTCCCTATTCTACTCTCTAAGATTATAAATTCATAAAATCGCTTTATTCAAATAACTAACTCATGTTTTTTAAATGATCCTTTGTGCCAATTTTTATGTGTATAATCCAGAGGTCACCAAGTTTTATATAAATTTTTACTAACTTTACCCATTTGGTTGATGAATTTCAAAAATCTCTTCTAATTCTTTCTGTAGGATTTCATTCTTCTAGACCACATAGTAAGGAATTTTCATACAACAAATTGTTCCGACATAATTTTACTCTCTAAGAGGATGAAATTTCCTAAAATCGCTTTGTGTAGCTAATTCACTAATATCGTGTAAACGAACCTTTGTTCTAATATTTATGTATCTAAAGCTGGCTGTATGAATTGATCCCTAAAATATCTAAAAACTAGATATATAATCTAACTGACAAACCACTGACAATGACAAATAATTTATTTCTGGAGGTATTGTGTGTAGGTGTTTTTCAGGTATATTTTAATATTTAGTCGATTTACACAAAGAAATAGCCATTCAACAATTTGAAAATACTTTATAACAAATCTAGACATATATACCTTTCATTTAAAAAAAGAATTATCAAGATTGGTAAAGCAGTTTCGGCGGGATGGATGTAACAAAAAAAACCTTTGAGGTTTATATATGTATGGATTTTGTTGCAAATATTATTCCTAATCTTAATTTGAAAACCGCGTTTCACTAGCCACTGTAATTTTTGAGTTACGATTTTTTAAAATTTTTAACCCCCTCCCATACCCCCTTACCAACCCCCCACCCCCACCAAAAACTAATAGCCAGATTCTCGGGTGCCACAGTATTTTTGTGCCAAATTTGGTTAAAATCGGTTCAGCGGTTTTTGAGTTATCGTGTTACAGACGGACAGACGGACAGACAGACAGACAGACAGGCACCATGAAAATATTTTTTATTTAGGTCATTTATGACTACTCTAATACTTTGTATTAGAGTATTTTGCCTGTAGACGTCGCCATCGGTTCATGCTGTTAATGTGGCAAATATATTGTGTTATGTTTTCTCATTCTTCTTTAAGGACCAAGCGATTTTTTTTTATTTACAAATTTCAGCCATCTTCAACAAGATGACACATATTGACACAAGACTTTTGCACAATATTCGACACACCAAAGCCACCTCGTCGTTATGAAGAATATCATCAAAAATTAACGATAATTGAAAAAATTTCAAAATGTTTGTGGCAACTTCACTTCGCTCATAAAAACAAAATATTCAGGAGACATGGTTCTGACCGAAAAATAATGTTTTAGGATAATTTGCTTACGAAATTATTGCACAGGGCGTTTTAAAAATAGGACAAAAAAAAAATCTTTGATTAACCCTGTATAATAAGTCAAATACTAAAATTTATAATACACTGAGCTTCCGAATTAAAGTTGATATACTTATACAGGGTTGTACACCACATACGACACGGAGTATTATAGCTAAACGATTAGATTTTAACAAGTTGTAAGTTTTGGGTTCGTTAAAGGACTGTTAGAGCTACAATATAGAAGTATTTTTAGAAGATACAGAGTGAAAAAATATCAAAGTTGTATTTTTTTAAATAGAACACTCTGTATATTATTACGTTTTTAGTTTCTACGATTAAAATTAAGGTAAATTTGATTAAGGTTTATCACACTTAAAGTTTACCGTTTTTGAAATATTTTCAATTTTGTGAAATTCCAGTAAAAATTTTAAGGTTGCATTTCTCCAAGGGTATCAAAGTTTTTAATTCTAAATATTTACTAAAGTTTAATTATTGATCAGTTATTGTGTTGCAGTAATAAAAATAATACTACCTCATGCAGAGTGTC